GCCAAGGTCTTGGTATAGACAAAATAGGAAAGTTGGTATCAATGAGGTGTGTGGACGGACCTCTCAGAATAGTCACAGGGTGTGAAGATATGCGTGTCCCACGTGAATGCCGCACCAGAGGGTACCTATGACAGAGGAAGCCCTCCACACTTAGGTGGACAACACGACTTGTGCCTATCAGTCAGCTTCTTCCCAGCGCCCCAGTGCTTGTTCAGTGGGCCTATGTACAAGGTGACCACAGCAGCCAGAGAGGAGGCTGTGCGTGGGTTCCATACCACGGACTTACCACGGCTCCTCTGACTACAGCCTCAGCTCAGTGCCCAACCTGTCAACAGCAGAGGCCACTGCCAAACCCGCAAACTGGCACCACTTCTCTGAGGCATCAGCCAGCTACCTGTTGGTTACATCGGATCTCTCCCCTCATAGAGGAGGCAACACTTTTTTCTACTCCTAGAGATGGGAATATAACTGTGTATAGATTCGCCTTCCTCGTCCACAGTGCTTTTGCTGGAACCACTGTTCACAGTCTTACAGGAGAGCCCTATCTATTACTATGGCATCCTCTACATCAGGGCCTCTGATGAGGGGAGCATCTTACTGCAAAGGAACTGAAGTACTGGGTTCACAGGTTTAGCTTCATCTCCTATCACCCAGAAGCATCTGGCTTGATGGAACTGTGGAATGGTCTGCAGAAGGCATAGTTACAGAACAATCTGGGGGACACTACCCTGTATGTACAGGATGCAATATATACTTTATACCAGTGGCCAGGTATGCCATCTTCCTATAGTCAGAATGCATAGATCGGGAACCAAAGAATATAGAGGAGTGGCCTCTCTCACTACTACCTCATAAACTCACTGGAAGAATGTTTGCTGCCTGTGCCTGTGACCTTGGACTTGGTGGTTTGGAGCACCAAGCACTAGTTCCCAGGGGAGGAACAGTTCCACCAGAGAACACAGTAATTCATCTGATGAATTGGAAGCTGAAACTGCCCTTTGACCATTTTAGGCTCTTCATGACCGGGAGTCAACAGGCAAAGAAGGGAATCACTACTATATAAACCAAAGTGATGGATCCCAATTACTAAGAGGAAATTTCATTGTTACCTCAAAACAGGGGCAGGCAGGACTACGACTGGCACCCAGGATATTAACTGGGGAACTCCTTAGTACTCCCTTGCCCAATGGTCCTGGTCGATAGTAAATGGGGCAAGCCAATAAAGACTGGAGCACTGAAGACTCCAGTCCTTCAGGAATAAAGGTTTGGATCACCCCACCAGGTAGAGAAGTCTACCCACCTGAGGTGTTGTGAGAGGGTAAGGGGGACATAGAATGATGGTGGGCAATGGCAGCTCTGATTACCAATTTGATCACCAATCAGCTATGGAGGTGGTGACTGTAGCAGTCACGTGTTTTGTTAATTGTTTCTTTTGTACCCACTCTCTTACGTAAAGAACACCAGCAGTGACAGATGTTTTAGTTTTAAGTGGTTGTATGGTGCATTGACAGCACCTTGCTAATACAGTAGCTGATGGGACTTCGTATGTCCTGTATCTTAGGGATAACACTTTTCACTGGCTGAAGGACAAGAATGAATGCTGAGAGGCAAAGAGGTAGACTGTGCCAGATATCTTCCCTCTGCCTCTCAAATGATCTCTCCACCCTTCCTCACTGAGCTCTCTGACCTGGGAGGTTGGCTTGTATGGGAAACATCATCAGACCACCATGCCTGCTGGCTTCTGGTTGGTTTTGGCCAAGGAGAGCCCTGGCAGATCAAAGGGAGTGAGCAATGAGGTCAAGATACTTATTTCCATTGCTGCCTCCATGCAGGGCTGTCTTGGGCTGGCTGTGTCCCTCAACCAAAGGTCATTGCCCCTATCAAGGCATGGATAGGGCATGGAGGGAAGGAAAGAAGGTGGCTCTGGCTCTCCCCTTGGAAGAATCATGAAGTGGGTGGTGGTGACGTACATAGGGAGGCCTGGGTTCTGGTTCTAGCCCTGACCCAGTTCCCTGTGTAGTGTTACCCAAATCTTTGAACTTATCCGGGCTGTCAATTTCTTCTACTATTATATGCACGTGGTAGATAGACTCTAAGACAGACCACATGACTCCTACCTCCTGGTATTCACAGCCCTGTGTATTCCCCTCCCTTTGAGTATGGTTGGAACCTGTGACTTGCTTTTAACCTACAGAATAAAGCAAAGGTGTTGGGCTGTCACTCCCATGATTACATTACTTTAGATTACGTTACCTTATACAAGACTCTGTCTTGCTAGCGGACTCGCTCTGTTGTTGGCTTTGAAGAAGCAAGGTGCCATGAATCCTGCAGCCAACCACCTGAGGGAGTTTGGAAGCAGATCCTTCCCTAGTTGAGCCTCCAGAAGAGAACTCAGCTCTGACTGAAGCCTTGATTGCAGCTTGTGAGACCCTCAGCAGAGGTCCCAGCTAAGCCGGGCCCAGACTGCCAACCTACAGAAACTATGATATGTGTGTGTTGTTTTAAGTCACTAAGTTTCTGATAATTGTTATGCAACATAGAAAACTAATACAATGCATGGTTTATTAAAATGCTGGTTAAATTAGAAAAAAATCAGAATACTGAATGCTGAGGAAGAGATGGTGAAACCTGGAAACCTACATTGTTAACTGATATTAACACTACTTTCTTTTATTATGAAAGTTTTCAAACATACACAAAAGTAGGAAGAACAGTATGAACCCAAGCACAACCACGGCCTAGATTCAAAAATTAAGATTTTTCCATCCTTCATTTATCCCTCTCTTTTTGCATAATAATTTCCAAACGAATCCCAGAGATTGTGTCATGTCCTCTATACTCATTCATGTATGTGTATTTGAAAAAAAATGGCTAACTTCTTACATAACCACCTCGCCATTTTGACATCTAAAAAACTTAGGAATAACCTTGTATCAGCTAATGCTCAGTCCATATTCAAATGTTTCCAACTATCTAAGAATATCTTGACATTAATACACCTTTTGTAACTTGTAATACGAAACAATATGTAACTAGAGCCTTAATAAAGTTCATATTCTTTGATCCAGTATGGCTAATCCTGGGGGTTTATCACAAGGAAAAAATTCAAATGATGGCAAAAGCATGATATCTATTAAAGACTTATTCATAATTGTGAGAAATTGCAAACAACTCAGATATGTCGTCTATCAGTCAGGGTACACTCTGGAAAACAGAGTCCTCATCAGTGGTTCAATGGTGGGAAATTAGAATGAGGGAGTGATTACAAAGGTGTTGGGATATGAAGCAGGTCAGAAATTGGCAACAGCAGGAAGCTTCTCCCACCCCTGGGGAGGGGGAGGGACAAAGGGAGGAAGGAGGCGGTGGTACCTGAACCCAGAAATTGGGGCCACATAGAGAGGGTGTCTGAAGAGGCCAGAACCAGAGAGGAGACACAGCCATTACTGGGACAGTGTCTAAAACAGAGAGAAAGGGGGAGAAATCTCCTGGCTTCTGCCTTTCTCCTGTCCTCCAATCTCCTGCAAGTGTCTCCTATTGACTGAATCCAGCCAGAAGCCAGTGGCAAGGAATGCTGGAAAGTGAAGTTTTCAGGGTCAGTCCCTTGCGGGGCAGAGGTCATTCCCTAACCTCCCTCTTGGGAGCCCTGTCAGGTTTGGGAAGGTCAGGGAATGGATCTGAGAGCAAACAGGCATATGTCTGGCACATCAACAGGGGCCCTAAAATCCTTCCAGAACAAGATTAGTGCTAAATAAAAATATCCAACAAAAGATAATTACTAACTTAGGACACATCCACTCAACGTTTTCCTTGACCATTGAAATTATAATTATAAAGATTATGTAGCAATATGGAAAACATTTACACTGAATTATAATACTACATCATTTCTCTTCTGTACTTTTTCTTTTTTATACCACCTATCTCTTTCTAACATAAAAAGATGAATCTACTTATTTATCATGTTTATTGTTTATCGACTCACACACCATTCCCCACCCCTGCTAGAAAGTTAGCTCTATGACGGGCAAAAATCTTTGCTTTTTGTTTGTTTGTTTGTTGATGTATCTCAAGTGAACTGTGCCCGAAACAGAGTAGGCACTCAGTAAATATTGTTGACTGAATAAAGTGACGTGAAGAAAGCAAAACACAACACACACTTCACAAGGTTGTTGTGAGGGTTAGATGAGATGGCGTGTGTACGACCCCTGGCATAATAGCAGATATTTAGTGTACTTAGTAAAGGTTAATTTCACTGTGGTAGGAGAGAGCTGGTGGAGGAGGAAGGGCTGAAAGTTCACTGGACTGTGGTGTCTATCTCCACATACAGGTCAACATCAAAAGGGAAGATAGAAAAACCTCCATGATAATTTCCAAAGAATCAATGTGGTGTGATGAGCAGAAGCCTGGATCTATAGTCAGCTCTGCCACTCACTAGCTCTGGGCCCTTGGTCAAATTACCTAACCTCTCTGGGCTATACTTTCCTTATCTATAAAATTGGAATAATAATACTTGTCTCAGTGTGTTGTACAAATAGTGCCCAGCACAGGGCTTGGCACCTAGTGGATGCTCAATAATGCTGGTTTCTTTAGTGCTCACCCATCCTTTCTTCCTCCTGGGAGTCCCGGTCAGGTCTGGAGCTGTCCGGAGTGCTGAAGACATCCTTCCCCCTCTCCCTCCCTCCCTCCCTCCCTCACGGCCTCTTTCCTTCACCCCCTCCTTCCTTTCTGTGCTTGGCTCCCCAGAGCCCTAGGGTCTGAACAGATTAAATTTTCCAAGTGGCTTCTTCAGGCCCTGAGGAGGACAGGAAGGAAATGAGCCATATATGAGACACTCCCCACCCAGGAGTCTCGGGAAGCTGACGGGCAGCAGGAGTGGTGACCGTGTACGCTGTGGTGGGATTGGGGGTTCCCCAGGACAGAGCCTGCTTGGAGAGTTTGACATCCAAGGACCCTGGTGCAGGAACCTTAGGATCTGCAAAGAGGCAATGAGTCAGCACAGCATGGCAGGTGGGTCTTTGGGGAGCTTGCCCTGAGGAAGGCAAGAAGGACCAGGTTGGGGGTCAAGAGGGTGACCCTTGGCTACAGGGGCCCTGGCTCTGCAGGAATCCCCCACCCCCCTTCTCTGGGTTCCTATCACTTTCCCTATCTTGGTCATTTGTCTGTTAATGCAGTGAAAGGCATCTTCATCTTTTTGGGTTATGATAGTATGGAGTCGATTATCTCCATGAACTTGGTGCTATGAGCCAAGCAACCTGTGGCTAATCCTTGATGTCCATCTCCTTGAGTCTAAAAATACAAATGGTCTCCCCCTAGGAAGGTGGCACATTAACCCACCCAGAGGTGAGGCCACTGGCATCTCACACGCTCCTCAGGGCAGGGTTGGGAGAGGGGACATGGCCAGCTCCAGAGACAAAAATCTGTTTCCTGATTTGTATTGACAACTAGAACATCAAAGCTGAAGGATCTTTGGAGACCTAAACATCTCAACAGAGCCCTCTCTATACGGAAGGCACAGAAAGAGGTCTGGACTCCACCCCACAGGACTCTTGTCCTGCCCCGAGGCTGGCCCTGCTAAGGGCCTGAGCATTTTATGAGACCCTGCAGGCCATCAGCTGCAGGATGCTGGTGACACTGAGCACGGCCAGCTGGAGCGCAGGGCCAGGGGAGCCTGCTGCTGCTTTGTGGGACCGAGGGAAGTCCACACTCCTTTCTGTACCTCAGTTTCCCCATATGTACACAGAGGAGTTGGTTTATATGCTCAGATCTCCAAGGATCCTTCAGCTCTGATGTTCTAGGTGTTCAAAGAAAAAGGGGTGATTTTTGTCTTTGGCTGGGAAGCCCCGGTCCCAAATCAGCCCTAGCTTTTGGTGAGACCTCAGAGAAGCCGCTGTCCTGCCCAGAGTCAGTTTCCTCCTCTAGAAAAGAGGGTAAACAGTCTCTTCTCGGTGCCTCTGGGAGGACCAGACAAAGCAGGGGATCACCGGTGCTTTGCAAAGTACAGGTTGAGACGAGAGGCGGAATCACTGGTATCAGCTGCATATGCCTACGTTTCCGACTGGAGATGATGAGCTCTCCATGAGCCCAGAACAACCCCGCTGCTTCGAGGGGTTCATCCTGAGGGGCGGGGCTGCTAGGAGCCCATTGGAGCGTCACAGCGGAAGAGGAGGGAGGGTACAGAGGGCCTCCAGCGGCTGGCGGAAGAGCAGCTCTCCCTGGGTCACTGAGCCCTGAGCTGGGAGAACCGGAGCATCACAGGCCCAAGGGGCCCAGGGTTGGCCAACCGTACGGAGGGGCTTCTTCTACGGATGCAGAGGCTGAGGCCTCAAGCGGGACAGGGGCAGGACTGGGGCTGAACTCAGGCCCCACCTCCCCGTTCAGATCTTTACACCACAGTACACCTCCCTCCCCTCAAAGATCCAAAGATGGTGATAACTATTCCATTTAGTTAGTTAGTACCACTCACCTACCTGCTGACCACAGTGAGCATTCCCACTGTAGATACTCTACACAGTTGGTCTTCGCCACAGCTCTACCAGGTAGCTATTCTCATCCCCATTTTACAGAAGAGGAAACTGAGGCTCAGAAAAGTTAAGCTTCTTGTCCAGAGTTAGGGCTAGTGAGTGATAGTCAGGTTTTATCCCTCTGTGTGACTCCAAGGCCCTTCTTATTCCTCTGCACTGAACATAATTCCTAAGGAGCTACTCTGCACAGACCATCGCTCTTGACATTGGGAGAGCATCCTCTTGCTCTCCCAAGTGTGGGCTCATTCCAGCCCTGCCTCGTCTGGGAAGCCCCCTATGAGCCCTCCTCATGAGGCACTCAGAACCTCCCCACTGGTCCTGCCTACTGCCCGCACTTGTGGTCAGCTCTCCTCTTGGCTGGGACCTGCCTCCCTTCCAGCCTGGCAGTTTCTGAAGGGTGATATGGGATCGTATGTCTTCCTGGGGCACCCATGGTAGAAGGCTGCTGGCTACACAGAGGGTGTGGGAGGACTCGGCTGGATCCTGTGGGTGGGAATGGGCAATGGCAGAAATGCAGGCAGAGGCCAGGTGGGAGTTGCAGGTCTGCAGGATGGCCATCAAAGTCCTGGGACAGTAGGATGGAGTGGGGACTGACCCAGGCCAAATGTCCTGGTTGAGGAGGCCCTGTGTGGGGTGGGGGATGAGCTGAACAGATTTGTCCAAATCCTGTCTCTCTGCCAAGTTCATTCAGTATCCCTTAGTTTCCTCATCTGTAGGATGGGGATAGAAAGAACTTGTCTGAACAGGGCTGTGAGGCGGATCAGAGATGGGACTGTGTACGTGCATTGTAAACCCTCTAGCCACAAACACGCAATGGAAATGCTACCTGCATCCAGGCCCTGCTTATGCTTTGGGGCCCAGGGAGTCCAGCAGAGTCAAGTGCTGGGGAGGGGGCTGGGCTCAAGGGTAAGAGGGGGGATGCTCAAGGGGCACCAGGAGAACTTGGCCCACTTTGGTGGATGAGTAAAGGCAGAAATAATAATCATAGGTCGAAAGAGGGAGGATTGATTGAATACCTACGTACCAGGGACTATGCTAAGTCAAAATAGACATAAATGATAAACATACTTCTTAGTACTGTTGTGATATTGAATGACTAAATGTTTATAAAAGTACTTTAGGACAACACAGAACAAGTTGTCGGTAAATATCAGCAATTGTCAGAGCCAGTGGGGAAGAGGCTGGTGAGATGTTGGTCAGAATTATTGGGTGGGCAGGCTGGAAGGGACATGTTAATACAAATCTATCCACAGTCGAGGGGATGTTTTTTGCACCAGGTCGAACCCACATTTGGTGGCCTTGGCTATTGTTACAGGGGGAGCAGAGAAAGGGGAAATTCCTCCTTTCCCCAGACTGATGGGCAGGCAGGGGTGGGGAGTGACAGCAGAGGAGAGGGGTGGACCTGAGAGTTTGGAGCAGCTCTCCAGGGCCACAGAATCCGGGGCATAAGGGAAGGCCTGCGAAGGTGAGCCTGCCACCTCTGCCCCCAGTCGTGGTGCTCTGCATGCACTCGGCGTTCCTGGGGGGCTCCGAGCAGACCGCCCTGCTGAGCCGAGTGTGGGCCCAGGGCCTGCCAGATGAGAGGCTGGTCTTTGTGCCCTATGACACCAACGGCTCCTACCCGGCCCTCGGCGACTGCGGGCCCCTGCGGGAGGCCTATGACGCACTGCTCATTGTCAGTCTGGAGTCCAGCCCTGCAGACCAGGCCCTGCAGACCAGGCCATCAAAGCTGCCGGGGCCAATGGAGAGAGGGCTGCCCGCCTGGAGCCACAGCAGGTAGGTCGGTGCAGGGCCCGGAGTGTGGGGCCACGGCAGGTGTGCATGCGCTCCTCACCCACTCTAGGCCTTCCTGGCCAACCAGACCCACCTCCACTGTGGGCATGTGACCTGTATGTTACATGGCAAAGTGTCTCTCTGCCTAGTCCCTGGGTGTAGTGTTTCTCTCTCTCTCTCGTAGGGATGTGTGTGTGTATCTCTCTGTCTCTGTGTGCCTCTGTGTGTGTGTATCTCTGTCTCCTCTCTCAGATCATTCACTCTTTGACTTGCTCTGTCGATTCTCCTTCTCTCGTGTCTCTTTTGCTTCTATTTTTCTGTCTCTGACTGAGCTCCTCTATTTCTCATTTCCAGCCCAACTGCTCCTTCTCTTGCAGACATTCTTCCTCCTCTTTCTCTGCATCTCTCTGGCGGATTGTGAAGATAGGAGGAGGGGGTGTTGGGGGTGGGAGAGCAAGAGGTTTCCTGAAGTCACTGCCATGAGCCTGAGGAGCGTTGGTGGGGATGGGCCGTGGCTGGGTTTTGGCTTATGGGACTCAACAGCTTGAGTCTCCCTTGGGATGTCTGCTTCTGGTGATAAGGAGACAGTAGTGGCTGGAGGTGGTGACAGGGATGCGGGTGCTGATGGCAGGTCATTCGACCAGTCATTCACCTGACGAGTGTGAACTGAGGCCCTCTCATGTGCCACTGTGCCGGGTGTCAGGGCCACGGTGATGGACAAGACACACCTGGCCTTCAAAGAGCTTCCATTCGGTTAGGGCAAGACAGACAATAACCAAGCAACCCAATACCCAAATTCAAATAGTGATCACGTCAAAAGGAAATAAAACAGGATAAAGTGACAGAGAGTGGCCGGGATGGAATAGTGGGCAACAAGAGGTAGGACGTGCAGGGAAGCCCACCCTAAAGAGGTGACACGTGAGCTGAGCTCTGAATGATGAGGAGGCAGCTGAGTGAAGATCTGGATGAAGAGCAACCAGGCAGGGGGAACAGCCAGTGCAAAGGCCCTGAGGCAGCATGAGCTTCGATGGCAGAGGACCAGGCAGTGAGAGTGTGGAGTCGTGAGTGACAGGGAGCAGGATCGAGGTGAGCTTGAGGCCTGACCATGTGAGGCATCATAAGCCAGGACAAGGAGTCTGAACTTTTAATGAAATGAAATGGGAAATCATCACTGGCTTTTAAGTAAGAGATGGTTTGATTTATGTTTTTTAAAAAAATCACTTTGGTTGCTTTACGGGGAATGGCCTGAAGAGGGCCACATGAAGCAAGGAGACCCTCAGCCCCAGGTGGTCCAGGTGAGCAGTGAGGGGGTTGGACCAGGGGGCAGGAGGAGGGGTGGTGATAGGTCAGTTTGGTTGGGAATAAATTCTGAAATAAAGCCAAACAGATTTGACGATGAACTGGAAGAGAGAACGAGGCGTCAGGAATCAAGCCTAGGCTTGAGAAACTGGGCAGGCTGAGTTCCATTTTCTAAAATGCAGGAGGAGTGGGGTTTGGTGTGGTAGAACCAGGCGGGACCTTGTAGAACCAGGAGTTGTTTTGGACATATTAGGTAGGTTTGAGATGCCTGTGAAACCTCAGAGGTGGTGGTGGTGGTGGTGGTGGTGGTGGCCGTGGAGACTGTGAGGCTGCTGAGTGAGGCCTGAGGTAATGATGGGACCAAAGAGAGGACCGTGTTGAGAGTGGAGGTAGGGGAGGGATAATTCAGACAACTGCTGCTGGCAGGAGGACCAGGACCCAGAGGTGTCTGGGAGCCTGTGCCATGGGGTTATGCGGTCGAGGGACCTTCTCTTCCACAGGTGTCCCCGCTCTTTGGAACCATCTATGAAGTTATTGTCCTGCTGGCCCATGCCTTGAACCACTCTGAGAGCCACAGAGCAGGGCTCTCAGGGGTGCAGTTAGGGGACCACACAGGGGCTGTGAATGTGGCTGGCTTTAGCCAGAGGATTCGGATGGATGAGAAGGGCAGAAGGCTGGCTCAGTATATCATTTTGGACAGAGATGGTAGGGGGAGCCAGCTGGTCCCCACCCACATACTGGACACCGGCACATGGCAAGTGCAGCTGCTGGGCAGGGCCATACACTTTCCAGGAGGGAGCCCTCTGGCACGCAACTCCAGCTGCTGGTTTCACCCCAATACACTATGCATGAGAGGTAATTTATCATCCATCCATGAATCCACTCATTCATCCACCCATCCATCAGTCCATCTGTCCCATCCATCCATTCATCCATCCATCCATCCATCCATCCATCCATCCATCCATCTATCCATCTATCCATCCATCCGTTCATCCATCCATCCATCCGTTCAACCATCCATCCAGCCGTTCAACCATCCATCCAGCCGTTCATCCATCCATCCATCCACCCATCAGTTCATCCATCCATCCATCCATCCATCCATCCATCCATCCATCCATCCATCCACCCACCCATCCATTCATCTATCCATCCATCCATCCATCCATCCATCCATCCATCCATCCATCCATCCACCCACCCACCCATCCATCCGTCACCCATTCATTAAAGCTCTCCATGTGGACAGTCACGTGAGGAGCAGGAGCAGGTGCAAAGGAGAGACTTGACACTCTGTTGAGAAGACTGAACCAGCAGTTGTGAAGCACCAGGGAAGATTAGCAAGGCCTCCGTCTGCTGAGCAGGGCTAAAACATTTACAGACCACGTTCCCGTCTCTCAGCTCTCCTAAACGGCACCACAGCCTCGTGACGAGTCCATTACCCTCCATGGGCCCCAGTGGAGAACTGAAGGTCAGAAAGGCTTAGTGACTTGCCCAAGGTCACACAGAGTGGTGGCTGAGTTCATGCCGAGCCCAAGTCCACTGACCCCAAGCGTAGGATTCCTTCCACCTCCTGACACCGGGGAGTGTGAGACACGAGGCACACACTGTTCTGATTCCTAATGTTCATCCATCCCAGACCTTCATCCCTGATGGAATTGTACCAACACGCAAGTGCACAGGCATATGGAGATGAGCACGCATATATTCGTGTAAGCAAGTGCCCCCACATTCCCTAATGCACACCTAGTTACGGTGACCGCCGTTGGTGGGTGGCCCCAGGATGGCCAGGCTTGCCAACTCCCTGCCCACCCTAACCCTTCAGCGGCCCCACCCCACTCGTGACCCGGGCTTTGCCCGCTCTTCCAGCCCCAGCTCCGACATCACACCTCTGCGCATTTCCCCAGACACGCGCCGCCCTCTCAGGCCTCCCTGGGCACGTGCATTTCCTCTTCTTGGGGTTCTCCTGCCTTGCCTGGCTAAACCCTACCTGTCCTTCCAGAACAGCTCTGCGGGCAGGGCTGGGGGGCCCCTCCTCTGTGCTCCCCACAGCCCCTGAGTGCGTGGCTTTATAGAGTGTGTGTGCTGGGCTGGGACGACCAGATTTGTGGTTCCCCAGACCAGACGGGAGCTCATAGCCAGAAGCCTTCACCCGATTGTTTCTGTGCCCCTCTTCTTCCACAAATAGGGACTGAGGACCTACTGTGCACCAGGCACTGTGCTTAGCCCAGGGACATAGGAGTGAATGAAACAACGTCCCTGCCCCTAGAGCTGATGTTCTTGAAGACCAGGCCCCGGCCCTGCTCTCCAGGGCCTCTGGCTGGTGGCAGAGACAGGGACAGCCAGAGACCACACCACACAGTGCAGTCAGAGCTGTGCCAGGGGCAGCCAGGGGCTGACAGAGCCCGGAGGAGATCTTTACAAACCCCTCCTCCACCAGCCCTGGCTCAGAGGCTTTGCCCTCTGTCAGGTTTTAATTAATTCATTCAACAAATCGATCAGCAAACACTTATTGAACATCCACTGTGTCCTAAGCTCGGTGCTGAGAACTGAGGATGCCACGGCAGATGAGATTGCGGTCACTGCCAGCCCCTGTGATGGAGCTCACCGGGCCCTGGGGGCCGGGGGGCAAGGGCAGGGCCCTAAGAGGGGACCCCGAGGGGTGCAGGTAGCCTGAGTAGCAGCACGGGCCTCAGGATTTTTCTTCTCACAGCGATCCAAAAATGGCAACTCACACTCTAGCCAGGATTGTTGTGGTTATCACCAATGCAATGATCAGGCTCGTGGACCAGAGACCAGACAGCAGGGGCTGTGGGGCAAACGTACTTAGGGCTGCAGCTCGACACTGCTGCTGACGAGCTGTGTGACCTTGGGCAAAGTCACTTACCTTCTCTGAGTCTCCACTTCTTATCTATGAATAGGACCCAAGACCTAGCACCCTCACCTGCTTGTCCTTGCACGTGGGATGGGGCGGACCCCAGCAGCAGGCCCTGTGCTTCCCAGGGGAGAGGAAGGGGCCACGTGGTCACATCTTCTCAGTGAGAACCACTCCACAGTGGCACCTAGGAACTGGGGACTGGCTGGACTTGTCCCGTCCAAGGCTGGCTTCTCTGCTCCCTGTGCCACGGGCCTTGTTTGCTGTGATTGTTGAACCTTCCAGATTCGTTCATTCACATCTCCTTTCAGCCTTTCCTCATTCCTTGGTGTCCTCTAATAACAAGACTCCTTCCATGCTCACTGGACCGAATGTCACCCTCCCTCTTCTCCGGAATCCCCTCCACTGACTGTTTCCCGACACTCTCTTGACATGAGCAGTCGTATCGAGGCCACCAGTGGCCTCCGTGCGGCTGAGCCCCAGGCCCAGCTGTTAGTCTTCATCTTGCTTGGCCAACGAGCTGACGGCTCCCTCCTCCCAGCTGCACTGTCCCCTCCAGGGATCCCCCTCGCTGGTGCTCCTTCTCAGTCGTCTTTTCTGTTCTCCTGCAGCTCCCACCTGTTAACCTCGGTGCTTTGAGCCCTTCCGTTCTCTCTCTGCACTCACATCCTTGGTGCCTTATCCATTCTCGTGGCCCCCAGACTGACATCTCCAGTCTTGTTATCTCTAAACTCTGTATCTTGGCACGTCTGGTAGGATGCTGCTAGACACTCAGATGTTTAGTTGCATCTCAAACTTGGCATCGTCTGAAGCTGAGCTCCCAATCTGCCCCCACCTGCCTCCCGTTGCCTTCCCCGCTGCAGGTAACGGCAGCCCATCCTCTGCGAGGCTCAGGCCCCTCTGCCCCGCACTCCCACGCCCAGGCTGTCAGCGCGCCTGGGGTCTCCAGCTTTACAAGTTGCCCAGAAGCAGAGCCCTGCTCACCCCTCCGCTGCCTGCACCCTGGTCCTGGCCCCCAGCATCTCTCACTGGGTTACTGCCGCAGCCTCCCTGCTTCTGCTCCTGTCCCCGTCCCTCAACCTGGCAGGTTGCAGGACCCTTTGAAAACAATCAGATCTGGTGCTCCCCTGCTCGGCACCTGCAGAGGCTCCGCCTCACCTGAAGTCAAGCCTGAGTCCTAGCCGCGACTTCACAGCGCACTGTGCCCCTCAGCTCCTGCCCTCCCTCTCCCTCCCACCCTGCTCTGCCCTCCCCGTGAACACACCAGGCGTGCTCCAGCTTCAGAGCCTTTGTGCTTGCTGCTCCCTGGGCCTGGAACGCTTCTCAGCCACGCACGGTATGCTTGTTCCCTCACCTCCTGCAGATCGAGACTCAGAGCTTCCCCTAGGAGCCTGGGAGAGAGGCAGGATGGTGCAGTGTTTAGGGGCCCAGAGGCCAGAGCTAAACTGCCCGGGTTTGAACCCAGGCTCTGCCACTCACAGACAGTTACTTATCTCTCTGTTTTCTCTTCTACAAAATGGTGATCATGACCGCCCTCCTTCCAGAGGTCATTGTGAGGAAAAACTGAATTGAAATACAGAATATCCTTAGAATAGGTGCTTAGTGCAATACAGTGCACAGTAGTATGATAAGGGCTACAAGGTATTTGCTGCCATTATGATGACCTGGACTTAATTCAGATTGGGGGTCTCAGCAGGGGGCAGACAGAATAGGGCTGGTCATCCAACAAAAGGAAGGAAGGGAGGGAGGCAGCAGAGGCCAATGTTCTCTCTCCAGAATGGGGCTGGGCATTTTGCCACTGTGCCAACACAGGCCGATGCCAGGGCTGGTCAAGCAAAGCAGCCTTCTGCACCTTGCCCAGCGGTCCACAGCAGCCTCTTTACACCCCACTCCTGACGTGAGGGCTGGAGATTGGGATTCAGTGTAAGGAGGGGTCTTCTGACAGAGAGGAAGACAATGAAACTGGCGGCCAAGACAGGTAGTGAGTGGCCCGTTGAGGGGGCGTGCAAGAAGAAATAGGATAACACTTGACAGGGATACACAATTTTTATTTATTCAGCCCCTGCCCTGTCCAGGCCCTGTGTTGGGTGCCAGGGGCACCGAGATGAGTCAGACACAGGCCCTGCTGTCCAGCTGCTCTTGGTCTAGTGGGAGGGGCCTGACATATAGCAGACAAAAGGCCATGGTGTGACCAGGCCTGAAATGGGGTGTGAGCAGGGTCTGTGGGGCCCCAGAGGCAGGAGCCTGAGAGCCCGGGCAGCAGTGCTGGGAATCAGCAAGCGCGGGTGACGCCCAGTCCACAGAGAGGACTTGCGCAGTTCGGGCGCCTCCCCCCTGGGGAGGGGGCTGGGCAGGGTTTGTGTCCCCATTTCCCAGAGGAGGACCAAGGAGCAGGTGCCGGAGCTCAGTGGAGGGGGCTGTCCTCTGTGTCAGGACTCGCAGTCGCCCCACTGCCCCCACAGGCGCGCAGCCCCTGAGTGGCCTCCTGGCTCTGGCCCTGGCCTGCGTCCTGGTGCTGGCCTGCGGGACCCTCACTTGCCTCGTCAGGTGGGACTGTCTGCACCCCAGCCTCGTTCTGCCCCTGTGTCCCCTCCCCACAGGGCCTCTCTAGTGTGCGCACAGCCCTGGCAGCTCCAGGGGCTTTCCCATCCTCGTCCCAGGACCTCAGGACCGCCCGGCACTCCCATCCATCCCAGTGCCTCGGTCAGGGCCCTGTCGGGGCCGGGGTGCCTCCTGAGGACGTCCATTTGAGACCTGGGGAAGAAGCTGGGACCTCGGACAAGACTCCGTCACCCCCTGAGCTTCAGGCTGTGCGTCTGTACAGTGAGGGCTGGGCCAGGGTGACCCCCAGGGCCCTTCAGCTTTCAAATCAATTCTTCCTGGGTCTGAAGTCTCCCGTGTTCCCTGAGCCTCGGCCACATCCAAGAGGGGGCAGCGCTCCACCCCCAACCCTCACCCCAGACTCTGGCCGCCCCAGGAGGCCTCCGGGTGACAGGAACACCCAGGCTGGGGGCCAGCAGGCACATCAGGCCGGGTCCAGTCCTAGGCCAGGCCGCGGGCCTCCGTGGGGGGCGGTGCTCAAGGGTGCTCTCTCGGCCCCGCTGGGCCTGCTGGGGAGACGGGAAGGGAAACAGAGGATGGGGAGGACTCGGGGCCAGCGGCAGGTCCAAGGGGCAGACTGAGGCGGGGGTGACATTCGCACCGTCCCCGCTGCCCTGCGCTTTCTCTCGCCTCCAGATTGGGCGTCCAGCAGCTGCAGCAGGTGTGGGGCTCCCACCGGATCCTGGTGACAGCCCAGGAGCTCAGCCTCATCTATCGGCCCCTCAGCAGACGGATGAGTGGGGCAGGTACTGGGCTGGCTGGGCAGCAGCGACTGAAGCTGGGTCTAGGCCCCTGACATGGCTGCCCCCTCCAGCGGCTTCACATGGACAGTGTGAGTGAATTGAGAAGTGTGGTGGATGCTGGGAGCCTGAGGTCGGTGGCCCAGGGGTCAGCTAGGAGCCTGCCAGCCCCCCAGGAGCCCTCCAACATGGCCCTGTACCAGGTGAGGGCCTCTGCCACCACCATGCCTGGGCCTGGGGAGCTGTAGGCAGTTTGGGAGAAGCCAAGGGAACCCACAGCCTCTTGGGCCTCTGTGTGTCCACTCTTGTTACAGAATGGGAGACTGAGGCCCCAGAGGGGCAGTGACTTTCCTGGGCCCACGATGAGTGGGTACCAGGGCTGGAAGTGGGGAGCAGGGCCCCAGCTCCTAGTCCAGTGGGGTTTGTGCTCTGAGCTTGGGAAACAACCAGTTCCTGGCCACCTGGGCCTGGGCACTGCCAGCATGGGTCCACCCCAGGGCCCCTTTCAGCACTGGGGCCAGCCTAGGTCACCGTCCTGCCTGCTTTGGCGAGGGGCAGGGAGATCCCGGGTCCCTAAGGCCCTGACACGTCGGGGCAGCATGCAGCCCGGGACAGCCTCTGGACAGATCCTGGGCCACCAGCGGACAGGGAGGCTGGAAGGCCAGAGATGAGACCACAAGATTCTGGAGTTGCTGAGGACACTGCGATCTCTCAGGGGCTGTGTTCTCAGATACCACAGTTCACCGAGGCTCCGATTCTCACGTCTATGACTCACGGTGGATGAGCTGGGCTAATTGTTCCTGTAGGAAGCGCGACATGAGGCTCTTGTCCTTCCTTTCCACCTTCTCCCCTGGGGAATTCCATCTTCTTTTCTTTCCTGCTGAAAGGAGGCTTTAATGATATACGAAACATGTTGGGTCTGCTCCTCTGTGTTAGCTGGCAGGCTGCGGGTGAGGCTGAGGAGGCAGAAATCCCTCAGTGATGAGGGCAGAGAGGGCTAAGGTGACAGCCAGCTCTGGGTCAGGCCGGGGCCAGGACACGGCCCTAGCCCCAGGCCTCTGCCTCTCTTGCCCTCCCCTCGAGTCCCTGGGTCACGGAGGCCCCCTCACTTTACAGGATTTGGGGCGTCGCAGGTGCCTGAGGCCTGCAGAATAAGGCTGACCTCGGGGCCAGGGGCTAACGTGCCTTATACCCACCATCTGGTTAGCCCTCATGATGTGGGTGGAGGCACCATCCTCACTTTACAGAACTGGAACCTGAGGCTCAGAGACCTGAAGTCACCCACCCAAGGTCACATAGCTGGGGACCAGCAGCGGGTGAACTCTTGTTCTTCCTTGAACAGGGAGAGTGGGTGTGGCTGAAGAAGTTTGAAGCTGGCACAGCCCCTGAGCTGCGGCCGAGCTGCCGCCACCTCCTGAGAAAGGTAGGGCTGCAGAGGGCGCGGAGGGTGGGCTGCGGAGGGGGTGCTGTCAGGAGACCCCTACCCGTCTGGATTGTTCCCTACTCAATGTGGAAGTTGGTAGCCTCAGAAAGGAAGTCCTTCTTATCATTGCCAGCACCTCAATCACAATTACACACCATCACTGTCACCATTGTACACCAGCATCCCCAGAGTCACGTCACCACCCCAACATGATCATCACCATGACCACCAGGGGCCCAGTCCCCTCCGTCAGCATCACCACACGCATAATCCACGCCACCGAAGGAGCTTGTCCTGCACCCTCCATCCTTCCACCCATCCTCCCCTTTAGTCAGTATTTACTGAGCACCACCTATGCACCAGGCTGTGTTCTGGGTTTGGGGGACACAGCCATGGAGAGAGAGACAGGGTTCCTTCCCTCAGGGAGCTTCCAGTCACTCGTCATCACTGACCACATAAGCCCCTTCACCCCCGAGATTGTCAGCATCCTGAGAGGCACTGTGGGATGGAGGACAGAGCACAGGAGTTGAGTCAGGAAGTTGCCGGGTGGAATTCTGCCTCGCTGAGGCCCTTAGCTTTCCTGTAAAATGAGCTAATGTGATCCACCTAGGGGAATTATGAGGATTGGAGAGAGTATGTGAAATAACCTAGAACTTTCCCTGGTAAGTAGTGTGCCTTTGATAAAGGATGAATTTTATTATTATTTCCAGCATGACCACTATTTGAAATCAGTTCAAGGGGATTCAGAGACTGGAGGTTAGGTTAGGCATTTCCCGGTGGGCATCTTGCAACCGATATGAGTAGATGTTTCCTAAAAGAAAAGGTCCTATATGTGGTCAAATAGGTTTGGAAATTGCCTTGGTTAGCCATAGGACTTCTCAGAACCTTTAATATACTGTTCTGGTTGTCTACAAGTGTAACAACTTACCCTAAAATGTAGTGGTTTAAAACAACAACTATTTTATGATATCTTGTAGTTTTGTGGGTAGGAAATTTGGGCAGGGCTCAGCTGGGCTATGCTTCGGTTCCACTTGGCATTGGTTGGGGTCACTTGGTGGTATTCAGCTTGTAAACGAGCTGTCCAAGGTTGGCAAACTATGGCCCTCAGGCCCCATCAGGCCCACTGCCTATTTTGTAGATAGTTTTATTGGAACACAACCACACTCATTCATTTATGTATTGCCTATGGCTGCTTTCGCCCTACAATGGCAGAGGTGAGTATTTGCGACAGAAATTGTATGGCCCACAAAGCCTAAAATATTTACTCTCTGGACTTTTTCAGAAAAGTTTGCTGGCCCTGGTCCAGAGGGCCTGGAATGGCCTGACTCACACGCTCAGGGCCTTGGCAGGGCAGTCAGCAGACTGGACTCAGCCACACCTGTCTTCCCGCTCTGGGTGGTCTCAGAGCCTCTCCACGCAGTTTCTCCAGCTTGGTGACTCTGGGTAGAGAGACTTCTTATGGCCGTTCGTGGCTCCAGCAGAGAGGGCTCCAAGAGACAGAGAGTAGAAGCTGCCAGTCTCCTAAGACCCAGACCCAGAATGCACAAGACCACTCCCACCATGTTCTGTTGTCACAGCAGTCACAGACCCCACTCAGACTCAAGGGGAGGGGACAGAGTTTCCACCTCCTGAGAGCAGCAGTGTCAGAGGATTTGAGGTCCTTCTTAACTCACCATATATGCCAATATGCTGTGAATCTCTAAGGGAGGAGGCTAGTCAGGTCCCCCCTACTTAGTTGACCCCTGCACTGTTTTTGTGAAGAGGGTTGCACCAGACAAGGGTTCCATCTTTCCTCCTTGGGCAAATGCTAGCATCACTGGTTGGGTTCAAGCCCCCTGACCTGCTGGACAGCCATCAGAAAGGCTGCTTTCTGCTTAGGCTTGATCCCCTCTGCTCCTCTTCCTCTCCTCATCAGTCCCTGAGTCTAGAGGGGTGAGAATTTACATTTTTCAGGTAGGTGGTGCCACTTAGGTTGGGAAACAGGCTTAGATCCCTATACTGTGGAGTTGGCTACAGCTCATTCACTTATTCATCCATAATGCTTCCCTTATTCATCCACTAACTCGTTCATCCATCCATCATCCATCATCCATCCATCCATCCATCCATCCATCCATCCATCCATCCATCCACCCATCTATCCATCCAACATTTCTGATGCATCCCTGTGCACAGCAGCATGCTGGGTGCCGAGTGCTGTGGGCCCGGATATGGATTGTACCTGGTCCAGCCCTCCAGGGCTCCCTGGAGGCAGCTAAGGTGCCCATTGCCTCAGCAGATGCGGGAGCTCCGGCACGAGAACGTCACTGCCTTCCTGGGCTTCCTCGTGGGCCCTGGGGTCAGTGCTCTGGTGATGCAGCACTGCGCATGGGGCAGCCTGGAGGACCTGCTGTGGAGTGAGGCTCTGCAGCTGGGCTGGACCTTCAAGGCCTCCCTGTGGCTGGATTTGATCCGTGTGAGTACCTTCCCCAGGCCTGGAGCTGTGGGAGGCGATGGGGAGGCAGGCAGAAAAGAGAGGCTCAGATTTCCCAGACCTGGGCTCTTTCCATTTTTGAGAAAAATCTGAACAGTATGGCAAAGTGTTCTGGGGTCTGTGGGAATTCCGCGAGGCCCAGGGGTCCCTTTCATTCATCACAGGCCTGATGAACCCCATTGTGTCCACTCCAGAGCATGCGGTATCTGCACCATCGACATTTCCCCCATGGCCACCTCCAGTCCCGAAACTGTGTGGCGGATGGACACTTCATGCTGAAGGTCACTGACCACGGTTATGCGGAGCTCCTGGGTGCTTGGCAGGCTCCCCGCCCCCGGCCAGCCCCAGAAGGTCAGCTCAGGGGTGGGCGGGGGGCCTGCCAGTGGGTTCTGAGGCATCTGTTTAAATAGGGTGCTTGTGAGGCAGGAAGAGAGGGGGAGATGTCCAGTTCCTTGGCACTTCCTGTGCTGTGACCTTGAGTTGATGGCTTTTCCTAGCTGAGTCTCAGGCCCCTTACCTGTAAATGAGGAGAATGGAAGCATCTACTCCTCCTGGGTCTGTGGGGAGAGGGCGATGACACCACAGGTGTGAAGCACCTGCCCAGCTCGGCCCAGCTCGGGTGGTCCATGGGTGACCGCGGCGTGGCCCTGCCCTGTGCTTGCAGAGCTGCTGTGGATGGCTCCGGAGCTGCTGCGGGGGCCCGGGGCGCCCGGGTGGGGCACCCTCAAAGGAGACGTCTTCAGCATCAGCATTATCCTGCAGGAGGTGCTGACTTGAGGCCCGCCCTACTGCTCCTCGGGGCTCTCAGCAGAAGGTACAGCACCTCCTCCTCCTTCCTTGGCCTGTCCGTCACTGGAGTCCCCACGTACTTGAGTTGCTCCGTGACCATCAGAACATCTGGGCCTGAAAATAACCACATAGACACACATGCCTGTTTGACCACAAGAATTGGGTTTCTTTGGTGTAAGCCAGGAGCCTTCAACAACTCTGCCAAAATAGCAACTGACCAGCTCCAGGGCTGAATACATTGGTTTCTGGGTGAAAGCCCCAACCCCTTCCTTCCTCTCCCAGTGTCATTGCTGTGTCTGCAGGGGCTCATGCCTAACCACTCCCTGCTCAGCACAGATCATGCGTTTCTGCAGACCTCAGCTCTTCCCCAGCTGTATCACTTACTTTGTAACCTTACACAAATCACGTACCCTCTCTGAGCCCCAGTTTTCTCATCTTTAAAGTGGGGATCCAATATAAAATGCGCCAGACCCCCAGCCCCTGTCTGATGTGGCTGGGCTGCTCAGTATTTGGGGGCTTGGTTCTCCGTCTGGGTGGGGCGCCTTCAAGAGCATCTCTGCCCCCATACTTCTGGGTGTACAGGATAATCCCTCACACCTTCTCCGTTGTCACCCTGTTTTAGACATTTGCTCTCTTCTGACCCCAGCGCCAGGGCCCAACTTCAGAAACATTTTCTCCCCGTCTGTGTTCTCTGTCAGGGCTCCCTGGACCCTAGGCTTCTCTTCCAGTTGTCCCTCCGCTGCCTCCGTCCCGTCCTAGGGACCTGTCCCCGCAGATGCCCTGGCATCTCAGCCCGCAGTGCAGGGCAGTGATGGAGCCGAACCACCATCCCCTCCCACGCTGACGGATAATCTAACTCACAGGGAGGCCTGGCCCTGCTTCCTTTCTCTGCCACAGCACCACTCAGAGATTGATGAGCATTCCAGACCCCCAATTGATGAGGTGGGGGAACGGGAAAGAGGGGAGCTTTGTCAGGTCATTCGTTCAGCACTTCAGCTGCCCACCACGTCTGCCTGCAGGGAGAGGGAAGACCAGCCAGAAGTCTGCAGCTAGCGCCGTGCAGGGCCCTTCAGGCCTGGGCTCCGTCAGGCTTTAGGGGCAGGGCCAGGTCTGGAACTCTGTGGCTGCCCTTGGACCGGGCTATCAGTCCAGGGCCTGCTGCTCCCTGGAGTGTGCTCTCCCTGGTCTCAGGGAGTGAAACGTTAAGAGCACAGGCGTTGGCGGACACCGACCTGAACCCAGCTCCACACTGATTCACCTCATGACTCTGAGTAAACCCCTTTCAGGCTCTGAGCCTCAGTCTCCTCATCTGTAATGCCAGCCTCCCAGAGTAGTTGTGAGGATTCAGTGAAATGCATTAGACTAAGTGCCTGGGACATGGAGGGCACGCGATAAATATCTGCCTCCGTGGCTTTAGGGGTGTGTAACGGGGGACCCCAGGTTCTCTCCTGACTCTCCCACTTGGGACCAGACCCTGCTTGCTCTCAGAAATAAACTCTTTTAAAGATCGTGTATGTGTAGGCCACCTGCAGTTTCCAGAGCGCTTTCCTGTGCATTATTCCACGGGACGTCCTGGGAGGTGGGTACATGGGGATCTTTTCAGAGGTAGTTAAGTGAGGCTCAGAGAGGGGAGGGGACTTCTCAGCAGGAAGCAGTGGGTCTGGGGTTGGGGCAAACTCAGGGCTCTTGCCCTAAAATCTCTCGGAGTCATGCATGGAGCATCTTCTTACGGAGCTGGGTGTGCAGCCCCCTCGCTCAGCCACCAGCATGGCCGATCACTCAGAGCGATGCATCGCGTGTGGACAGAGGGCCTGGCGCGATCAGGGAACACAAGACCCGCCTGGCCTGGGCCAGTGTTTCCCAGCATGTTCGCAGGTGAGGAGCCCATTTTAATGTCAAAAAATGTCAGAGTCTCACATGCTACTATTTGACTTTTAATATCCGCTGACTGGAAAAACACCCAAGACAAAGTCTGCTCTGATATCAGCGACACTTTGAAATGGATTTGTATTTTGTTCATCGCAACACCATTTTGAAAAAGAGCTGTACATGTGTGTGCAAGATGGATTATTGGTTCCATCTGCTCATGGTCTTCTGTAAGCACATGGTCTTCCCAGACCCTTTACTGGGAGGCCCTCAGGGTCTGATGCCTGCAGGCTGGGAACCTCTGGGCAGAGGAAATCGTTCAGGATGGAGGGATCAGGTCCAGTTCTAGAGTCTGCTCTTTACCAGCACTGTGGCTGTAGGCAACCTACTTCACCCCCAGGAGCCTCAGTTTCCCTGTCTGTAAAATGGGACAGTGACTCATGCACTATCCCTGACAAGGAGGCCAACAAAGGGATGGGAAGGGGATTGAAATCCAGAAAGCTCCTCCTCACTGGCTCCGAGGGCTCCAACCTCCTCCCCCATGAGCGGAGGATCCCAGCCCTCCTCAGAGACTAGCCTGCTCTCCTCCACCAGCCCTCTGAGGTCTGCACTGTTATCATGCCCTGTTTATGGGTGAGGAAACTAGCCCCAGAGAGGTGACACGACTCGTACAGAGTGTAAAGGGATCATCTCGGAGTCACCTCCTGACCCGCAGAAAGCCTGGGCTAGGTACCCAGCTGCTCTCTCTCCTGGCGTCCTTGTGAACCTCTCAGCTCCCCCAGGCTCTCCAACACCTCTGGGGGGGGGTGTTTCTGTCAGTTGTTAAGTGGGGAAACCGAGGCACAGAGTGATGGCAGGGGGCAGAGCCAGAACTAGAGCACTGATCTCTCTGAACTCAACTTAGTCTGGTGGCCTTTATCACACAGAGTGGGGACAGGAAGTTCCACGGCAGGGGTGTCGTGGGAAAATAATAGTGATGATGATGATGCTAAGCGGACAGTCTTGCTTCACACTGTGGGGAGCTGGCCCCAGAGAGTGTCCAGAAAGAGCCACAGTGTCAAGGTTCCAAGCACATTGGACATCGCTGGAACAGAGCAGTAGCAGGTGTTGCGGGGTCTGGGTGGGGAGAGCCTGCGAGGTGCCAGGCGCCTAACACCCATTGTCTCCCTCCTCAGCACCCCTCTCCAGAAGGCAGTTTATTAAGCTCATTTCACAGATGGGGAGACTGAGGCTCCGAGAGCTCACTGCCTTGTCCACTATCTCGTAGAGAGGTGGTGGCAGATCCAGAACTCAAACCCCGCACTGCTGGTGGGTCTTAGTCTGAGACCCTTTCCCTGGCCACACCCTGGGTTGGACCCAGGAAAGCAGCAATCCTGGGTCCACTGGCCAGCACGCCCTGGGGTGCAGAGCAGGGGGCCAAGGAGTACCCTCAGGGCCTGATCCCTGCACCCCCACAGGCCTACCCTGTCCTCCCTCTCAGGACCTCAGGCCAGGCCCCTCCCAAGCCCCCCTGGGACCTCAGGCCCCACTGTCCCCTTGGTGTTCGTGGCAGAAATCATCAGGAAGGTGGCATCCCCCCCTCCCCTGTGCTGGTCACTGGTGTCTCCTGACCACGGGCCACCTGAGTGCATCCAGCTGATGGAGCGGTGCTGGGAGGAGGCTCCGCAGGACAGACCAAGCCTAGACCAGATCTACACCCAGGTCAGTGCTCCCTGGAGGAGCTGGTACTCACAAGAAATGGCTCATCAGTTCACCTCACTTTGCCCGGTGGGAGACAGATACCATCACAGGGGCCTAGAAACCCTACCCAGTAAAGGGGCCACAGGGTCCATCCTTTGAGGAAAGCTTTCTCAGAACCTAAGGTTCTGGGGACCTTTGTTGAGGGCCTTCCTTAGTGCCCCACGCTAAGTGCTGCGCTTACTTTATTTAATACTTATGATAGCAATGGCCATCCTTAAGAAGCATGGTTATTATCTTGGCTTTACAGGAGAGAAACTGAGGTACAGAGAGGTGAGGGGACTTGCCCAAGGTAACTGAGGGAGTGAAAGGTGGGGCTGGAATCCAAACCCAGGTCTGTCCGCCTGCAGAGCTGGTGCTGGAAACTGTACCCCTGCACCCAGCCTCCTGGCACTGGAGCAGAGAGGCCACCCGTGGCTGTGGAGGCAACGCTGGTTCCCCATGTCAGGGAGTGGAGGACATGAGGGGCACTGGGTCCCCCAGGCCTGCCTCAGGGACCGCAGCAGGAGGGGTGGGGCAAGTCTGTACGAGTCTGCGGGGCAGTAGTAGAGGGTGGGCATGACCGAGCTGCATAATAGCTCTCCCAGGCCAACTCATCAAGCCTGAGGTGACATCTTCTTGCCTCCCCTTGCCGCCCTCCAGTGCCCAGCCACAGTGGCATGTTGCCAAGGAGAGGCTCAGCGAGCAATTGCCAAGGAGAGGCTCAGCGAGCAAGACGGGCATCCAGACAGGGATGAGGGAGCGAGAGGCAGGAAGACAGATGGAGGAGAAACGCACAGGTGTCCTCTGAAAAGCCAACCCTCACCCCTTCCCCGCCTCAGCTCTGGCATCAGGAGTGGTGTCCTCATTTCACAGATAAGAAATCTGGACCTCAGAGTAAACGAGCTCTCAGTGCCACGTGAGGGGGGGTTGCAGAGCTGGGACAAGCAACTGGTTCTTAAAACACCAGCCTGGAATCTTTCCAGGGATCAGAGATCGCCAAGGCCAGTGAGGTGGGAGGAGGTTCTTGCGACTGTGGGGAAAGATCCTGCCTAAGACTCAGTGGCAGAGAAGGCAGACATGAGCACCTGCTGTATTCACACACAGAAGGCAGGAAATGCATCCTCCTGTGAGAGGCTAAGGGTCAGAGTGCCTGCAGAATGCTTGCCCGGGCAAGTCAATTGCTTTGTTGAGCCTCAGCCTCCTTAAAACTTGCCTGGAAAGACAAACTCTGGCCTGACTTGCCTTATTGGAGTGACTACCATTAAGTAAAAATTAAAAAAAATGTGGTTCTCTGAAAGGGGGAGAGTGAGTGAGGAATTGGAGAAAGAGCACCGACCCTGAAGTCAAAAGACCTGAGTTTAGTTCACTTAACATTGTTCTGGGAGTACCGGCCAATGCAATTCAACAAGAAAATGAATATTAGAAAGCAAGAAGAAAATGATTGTTATTTGCAGATCCTATGATTGTGTTCCTGGGCAACCCAAGGGAGACAATGGAAAAAACATTCCAAATGATAAAATAATTCAGTGGGGCGGCAGATGACAAAATTAATATATAAAAGTTTGATACTCAGTTCCACCACGAGAAGGTCCTCAGCCAGTTATTTCACCTCTCAGATCCTTTTTTCTTCATTTGTGAAAAGGGAACCTTCCTTGCAGGTGACCTTGGAGTCAGCCTCGTGTCCTTGGTGTCTCAAGTCCAGCAGCTATCAGGCCCACCCGAGTGACCTTTAAAGCTTGTGCCTCTGCTTTTAATGGGCAATACAAGATAGGTGCACGTTAGGGGCCACCGCCACTCCCCACCTTACAGACATATGGTTGAGAGAAGTGGTGTTAATGGAGGTTGGATATGCACACCTGCACACACTTGTGTGTACACACACACACACACACTAAGATGCTGGATGTAGACAGGAATGGACCCCTCCACTTTGACCATCACTAATTTGCTTCTACTGACTGCACTTTGGGAAGGTACAGACCACATTGGGGAAGGTTCTAGTAAATATCCTTAGGAAACAGGCTGCCATATTTCCTGTAAGGTTGTTGTTGAAGGTATGATTTACCACCGCACGTGAATGTCCTCATACGAAGACCTAAGAGAGGTGCTTCTTTCTGCTCAGTGCCAGCAGTGGTTGTGTTTCTTTCGAGCAACTAGTTTACTGCTCCATTGTCTCATGGACTCCGTGGATTGTGTAATCTATATTTCCCTCTTTGTTCTGTTGATAGGAAGCTCATATCCAAAATTGTGACCAAATTCTAGCATGCATTTTGCATACAGACTTCATTCTTGGATTAGCTTTTTGTTTTAACCTTTACTCTCCTTTGGTCCTAGTGTCCTTACACATGTATTATTTTATTTTGTGGTATTGCTTTATTTTTCTTAGTACTTAAAATTTTTTTGGAACAAAGAGAGAAATAGAGAGGTAGAAATAGATTTTATATATATAAATAATCTACATGTGTTCTTTCTATCTATCCACCCATCTGTCCATTCACTCATCCATCTCCATCGGTCATATCCACCCACCCATCTATTATCTATTGATTGATCGATCGATCAATTGATTCATGCATCCATCTATCTTTGAGAAGAACAAAGAAGGCCTATTCCATAGCATTGCTGTGAGATCCAAGGCAGTAGGGTGAGTGTTTGTTACCAGTAACGCTGTGCTGAGCACAGTCTCCTCTGCAAAGTCCTCTCTCTGCCGGTCCACCCCACACAGAACTAACCCATTGTTCCTCCCAGCTGTGTGTGCTTTCCCTCATCAGAGCTGCCATCTCCTGTCTAGGACATATCTGCTCCCCACCCATCCAGCTCCTCCAGGCGAGGTCTCCATTTGCTTCACTCCTGTGGCCCAGACTCCCATGCAGAGGGCTGGGGGTGCTGACCTTCATGGGTGAATTGGGATTTTCGTTTCATCTTCAGTTCAAAAGCATCAATCAAGGCAAGAAGACCAGTGTTGCCGACTCTATGCTGCAGATGCTGGAGAAGTATTTCCAGAACCTGGAGGACCTGATCCAGGAGCAGACTGAGGAACTGGAGCTGGAGAGGCAGAAGACGGAGAGGCTGCTCTGTCAGATGCTCCCTCCGTGAGTGACCCCTCAGGACCTGACCGAGCCTTGAGCCTCTGTGGCCCCAAGCACAGGACCCAGAACACAGCAGGTGCTCAGTAAATCTGGGCTCCATGGATGCATCCCGTTCATTCATTGTTTATTTATCTAGCATATTTCCATAGAGCCCTTCTATGTACCAAGCACTGTGCTGGGCACACAAGTATTGAATTTCTGCTACCTGACTCCCTTGGGAGCAGGGAGAGGGCACAATGTCACCCATCTGACTTCAGAAAAAGTCATGTCCAGAGAGGGACAGGTATTTGCTGGAGGGCAGCCAGCACACTAGCAGACCTGTCCCAGATCCCCTGATGCTCACCCCAGGATTTTCCCCAAATATCCCTCTCTCACCTGAAACTGTGGAAAGGGGGTCGTCCTACCTTCTGACTCTGGCCCTTCCCATCCCTTCAGGTCTGTGGCTGAAGCTCTGAGAATGGGGGCGACTGTGGAGCCGGAGTACTTTGACCAGGTTATCATATACTTCAGCGACATCGTGGGGTTCACTGTCATCTCAGCCCCGAGTGAGCCCATTGAGGTGGTGGGCTTGCTCAACAACGTCTACTTGCTGTTCGATGCTGTCCTGGGCAGCCATGACATGTATAAGGTGAGAGTACCAGGAGGCTGGCATCCTTCTCTCCTTCCTTTACTGCTGTGTTTGTGACATACATTTACTTCCTGTCATTTATTTACGTGTTTTTATCAGTTAGCTATTGCTGTGTAACAAATAACCTCAAATCCCAGTAGTGTAAAACAATAAGCATTTATTATTGTTCACAAGCTATAGGTCAGCCCTCTGGACTTGGCTGGCCTCACTTGTGCACCTCTGGTCAGTTGTGGGTGAGACAGGAGGCTCTGCTGATCTTGGCTGGGCTCTCTCACATCTCTGGAGCCTTGGGTGGCACAACTCGGTTCTGGGCCAGGTGGTCTCATCCTCCAGCGGGCTGGTTGGTGTTTACATGGAGTGGCAGGGTTCCGAGAGAGATGGCAGAAGCACAGGGGCCTCTTGAGGTCTAAGCTGGGATTGGGCACACTGCTAATTCTGACATATTCTGTTGGTCAGAGCAAGTCAAATCTCAGCCCAGATTCTAGAGGTGAGGAAATAGACTCCACCAGTGCTGGGCGAGGGTGGACGGACAAGTCAGCTCCTGTGCTTGTTCTCAGGGAGCTCTCAGTGCTGTAGGTGAAAGATCAAGACAACTCACAGTGAAAGTGATGGTCAGGGGAGGCAGAGGAGGCTGGGAGAGCCCCCAATCCAGCCAGGGGTGGAGTAAAGAGCAAGGAAGGCTTCCTGGAGGAGGCACTGTTTTCCTAGCATTGTCCGGTCTCGGTGTGGTTGCTCCAGGCAGCAATGGGGGAACAATGTGTTAAAGCTTGGGGCTTGAGAGGGCGGGCCTGGTGAGTGTGAGGAACGCTGAACCGGTCGTGATGACTGGACGTGAAGTGGGCCAGCGGCGGGAGTGGGTGGGTGGGTGCGAGCACTGGACAGGGCAGCGGGGGTCCTGGCAGAGCCGTCAAGACCCTCCATGATCTAGTCCCTGTGCACCTCTCCATCCTGCATTTGAGTCCCAACCTGGCCACCAGCTTCTTCCTGGCTTTGGGCAAATAGCCTGCCCTCTCCGGGCCTCTGTTTCTTCATCTATAAAACAGGAATAACGACCCCAGTCCCAGAGGGTTCACAGACGATGGGCAGATCCTGCCCCCTTGTAGAACGGCTGTGAGTTGTGAAGAGCCTCCTGCCCTCTGCTCTTCAGCTCTCCCCTGCCGTGGGATCTTCCAGCCCCAACCCTGCCTCTTATTCTGGTTCAGTTGCTGGGGGTCTCGGGTCAGCCTCAGACACAGCGGACGAGGTGGGGAGGCAGGGCCCAGCAAACAGCCACACTCAGGCTCCACGGCCTTAGCCTTCGTTTGTGACCCGCCAGCCCCCTTCCAGCCATGGCCCTCCAAGGAGGCAGGGACGGTGAGGGCCAGGCCCGGGGCTGAAGCCAGGATGGACGGATGCCTGGACAGGAAGTTTCCGAGGAGAGAACTGACTCTCCAAGGTGCCAGACAGTCTGCTGATCGCATTATGTATGGTATCCCAACAACAATAATTGCCAGTACTTACTGAGTGCTTACTGTATACTGGAGGCCAGTCTAAGTGCTTTATATGTATGAACCCTTTTAATCATCTTAACAATCTATGAGGTAGGTGCTCATACCCCTAATTTATAGAGGAGGAAACGGGTGGTTAAGTGGCTTGTCTAGTTACATATTCCCAGTGGGCTGTAAAGCTGAGATTTGAACTTGGGCATTCTGGTCCCAAGATCCCCCTCCAGGGGGCTCACCATCCCCGTGACATGGATGTCCTCAGGGTAAAGCCACATGTTCATAGTGGCCCATAAGGCCCTTCAGGAGCTGGTCCCACCAGCTGCATCTCTGGCCACTCCACCTCTGCAGACCTCTATATTCCTCACACCTGCTTTGCTCTCTCCAGCCGCTAGGCCTTTGCACATGCTGTTCTCCCTTCCTGGAACACTGCTCTCCCTCGTCTTTGCCTGGCTCCCTCCTGCTCATCCTTCTGGTCTCAGACTAACTTCCTTGCCCTCCCAGACATGGTTCGGAGCGCCTGTGTGATGCTCTCACAACCACCCCTGGACGACACAGCCTCCCCTTATGGTTCCAACCCAAGCCACTCTGTGCCCAGTGCCTGGAATGTGCAACACATGGCAGGTCCTCAGGAAATATATATTGACTGAATCAGGAGCTCACTGAGGCCTGGAGAGGGAGGTGACTGGCCTGAGGTCACACAGCCGGGAGGTGGTAGAGCCGGGAAAGGAACCTGCAATGTCCACCCCCACCACCTGGCTCTGTGCACTGCACCACACTGCCCAGCACCGCCCTGCGGAGACATGAGCCACTGACATTCCAAGGATGCAGCTTCCCTCCCTCTCCCCGTTCAGGACCCCGTGTTCCCGCCCCAGCCTGCGGTACTGAGGTGTTGTCTCTCATGCTGGCTGAGTTCCCCTCTTGCCTCCAGAGCCGCTCGGCCCCTGGGCCCCAGGAAAAGATTCCTCATCTAGTCTCGCTGAGCACCGAAGCTTTGATGTGCCCTGAGTCACCCCTGGCCTGTCTCTTCCTCCCCTGCTAATCTTTTCTCACACATGTGTCCCTCCCGGCTCTGAGTCATGCCTCTGATCCGCTCTGAACTCTGGCCAAGAGGTCTGCATCTTTCTGGCGGAACACAGTGAAATAAAACAAGGTCCACACACCCGTCCAGATGTGGGGAGACGGGGGGCCCGTTCCTCGCTGTGTGCGAGCTCATCTCTCATCACTCACGCCGTCTGCCTTGGTTTCCCCTCCGTCCGCAGCAGGATCTGGTTACTGCTCTCTAATCTGGTCTGGGTTGGGAGGCAGCCAGGCGACCGTTTCCTGGTTCCACAGGAGTCTGCGATTCCCTCCCAGCATGTGCTGAGTGAGCACTTTTGTGGACATAACTCCAGAGCAGATCCCATGTGGCTGTGGGGAGGGGAGGACTTACCCCAGCCACTCGGCCCCGGGGGTTAGTCTGGCCCCAGTCGCACTGCGGAGCGACCCTGGGCAAATCACTTCACCTCTCTGGGCCTCGAGCTCCTGTTTGTAAAACTGAAGTGAAAGTGCCTATGGCTTAGGGTTGTCGGCAGATTAAGCCACGTGAGAGGAAGTTCTATGCTTCATTCATTCACCAACACAACGACGATGACAACCCAGCACGTGCAGGCGCTGGGGGCTCCCCCTGAAAGCGTAGAAAGGGGGGTGGGGGGACACCAGCATTAGTTAAGCATCTACAGAGGGCTGGCCAGGCCTAGAGATTGTCACAGGATATCTCATTTAACCCTTGCAATGCCCCTCAGAGGGAGGGATCGTTATCCCTACTGTACAGCTGAGGACACAGGCTCAGAGAGGTAAGTGACTCACCCAAGGTCACACAGCAAGCCAGTGTTGGAGTTAGAATTCACATCTGTGTTTGTCCATATGGAAACCTTTGCTCTTACCTCTCTTCTGGCTGTTTTCCCGTCTGCAAAGGGCCACACCCGTGAACAAGGAGCCACAGCCCTCGGTAGCCCTGAGTGTCCACGACGCTAGGCGTCTTTGAGTGGTCATCTTCACAAGTCTGAGCTCCTAGAGACTAGGGCCTGTGCCTGGTCATCTTTCTGTCGCTGGAGTTGTAGGGGTGATTGTTAATTACACCAAACTCTCCCTTCCAGCTCAGGCAGCAGGCAGGGGGCGGCCTAGAGGTCAGCTTAGCAGCTTGGAGAATGTGGTCTGGAGCTGTGGCCACCATGGAGCTTTCTACTGCTTCTCGTTCCCGGTCTAGACCAGGGGTCACCCATCTGGGGCGGGCTGGGTCCCCGGAGCAGGTGTACTGTCCCTGAAATGCAGCCGCCCACCTGGCGGGCTGGAAGTGGGGCCAGGGAGCAGTAGGTCCCCTGGGTGGCCTCTGGGAGGCAGGACCCAGCCCAGACACAGTGCTGACCACATGCAGGGCAGAAGCAGACGGAAACCCCATGCAGTGGGCAGATTCTCCTCAAAACAGAGAGAGAAAGGGCCCAAGCCTTGTGCATCAAGAAGCAGCACAGCATACAGGCTCTGGAGCTCGACTGACCAAGTTCAAATCTGCGCTGTGTGACGCTGGCGAGTGACCTAACCTCTCTGGCCCAGTTTCCATCTGCAAAATGGCAATAGTAATGGTACCTACCTCACAGAATTCTTGTGAAGATCGAATGCGTTAATATTTGTAAAGGGTTTGGCACAGCGTCTGGCACATGATAACTGCCATACGAGTAAGGGAGGACTTCCAGTCTTGCCCGTCACATAACGTGTTCCTCCTGTCCGGAAGCAGAGGGTGGGCAGAGGGAAAGCCAGGGCTCACTCGTATTTTTCCCTCTTGGGACGGGGGCTGGGAGATCTCTCTCCTCTGTGGACATGTACACAGTGGGGGGTAGCCCTGCCCCCGACCCGCCACATTCACTGCCAGCCCACAAGTGCCAGGTGGGCGACAGCAGTGACGGACGACGGGGAGGGAGGGAGGTCACAGCCCTGAGGAGGAAACAGCTTTTCCCCAGCTGGTGACTGGGAAGACCTTATGGACTTGATGAAGCGTGAGCCAGGTTGATGGAGGGCTCAGACCTCAACAGATAGGGGCTGGGGGCGACGTTTCAGGCAGAGGGACCAGGCGATCAGGCCTGGAGGTGAGCAAGTGTCTCTGCGGAGAGGAGAAAGGTTCCCGTGTGGCTGAAGCATAGGGAACCAGGAGAAACTGTTAGGAATAAGTCAGGAAATTCCGCAAATCATGGGAGTCCCTGATTGCTGGCCATGGGGCGTGAATTTTAAGCCATTGGCCGTGGGAGCAAATTTAAGTATCTGAGCAGAATGTGGCATGATTAGGGCAGATCACTTCCCAGTGTTTGGGTGGGGACAGCTTGGCAAGGGAGAGATTTGGGGGACACAGGAGGTAGGGCACAGTCCACAGCTAATGTTGTATGAAAGAGAGTTATTGAATTACAGCGCCTCCTATGGACGGGAAAAAGCATTGACATTATTATTATTGTCCGCCTGGTGCTCAGGGAGAATGCACGTGCCTGGCCAGAGGGACGGCTCTGCCCCGGGCCGGGTGCAGCCAGCATGTGCTGCTGTAAGGAGCAGCAGTGAGGGAGCTGGGCTCTCTAGCCTGCAGAGCTGACGGCTGTGGGGTAGAGCCACCATCTACACCTCAGCTGGCCTGGCCTGTGGCAGGGGAGGAGGTCACGGCACACGTGTGTCCCCAGCACCTTGGACAAGACCTTCGGAACAGAGCAGGCGCTTAGGAAGGGTCTGTGGACCAAGTTCAGGAGGTCAAGTTGGAACCAGCAGGTGAGAGGCAGGTTTCAAGTCAACTCAACTTTTGAAAATCAGAGTTGCCTGAAGGGAGAAGCAACCACCTCCAGAAGGAGGGCCCATCCTGTGAAGAGCCCTGAGCAGACTGGGACAACCACTGGGGCTGGGGGAGGTGGGAGCCTTTAAAGTCCCCCCCCAGTTCTGAGATTCTGGGGTTCTATCTCCTCCAAAATCATTAGTCAAGGAAATAATGATGATGATGATGATGATAAAGACAGAAGTCTTTGTTTATTGAGCGTCTGTGATGAGCCTGGGTCTTTACAGACTTTATCTTGAATGCACATTCCACATAAGAGAAAACTAAGGCTCAAACAGGTGAAGAGGTCTGCCCAACGTAAATGGCAGAGCCGGGGTTCGAACCCACATCTCTCTGATTCCAAAATCCACCTCCTTCCCCATATACCTCGGAAAGCCCATGGGGTTTGGAAAAGAGGATGTATATCCAATATGTATGTGTTCTTCTCCCGATGTAGCCCTGATGGGGCGCTGTGGCATCATGCAGACGGGGCACTTAGGTCTGCTCAGAGAAGACGAGACAGGCGTGGTCACCCACAGTTCAGACCAAGGTGATCTGGATGTGCAGGTCCGGTTGTTGCCAGAGAGCCTGGAATGGGCGGCCTGGCAGAGTTGGCACTGTGGGCCAGAGACCGGAGTGGGGCTCAGGGGCTCCCGAGAGGTGGCCTTGTGCGGGATGTGGGACAGACCAGAGGGTGTGTTCTTGGGCTGGAGCGTCAAGGCTGTGACTTCTAGGTGGAGACCATCGGGGACGCCTACATGGTGGCATCGGGGCTGCCCCAGCGCAATGGGAGCCGGCACGTGGCTGAGATCGCCACCACGGCCCTGGACATCCTCAGCTCTGTGGGCAACTTCCAGATGAGGCACGTGCCCGACGTGCCCATTCACATCAGGGCTGGCCTGCACTTGGGTACGGGCCAGGTGTCGTGGGGGTGACAGGTCAGACTAGCCCCCCAACCCTGCCTGGGGCATTGGCTGAGGCAACCCCAATGGCATGCTTCTGGAATTCTGAGATTCTAAAACCCTATGATAGCAAAGTTTTAGGTGTCTTTTTTCCTTCTATTATTTTAAGGCTCTAAGATATTATAAATCAAAGAGTCTGTGGTGCTCAGATTCACATATCTTTCTTGTTTTTTGTCTCAGCATCTGTCAAGAGCATCTAAATCTGTGCTGAGGAGCTGATAGTCTGACGGAAGAGGCAGGACAGGGACCTTCTGTGTTCATGCAAACAACTGCATTTTTTTTGCAGGGATGGGTCCAGGAGAGACCTCAGAGTCTCTGTTATATCATTCTCATGCCCCCACTCCTTCCTCCCTCCGTAGTTTCACCTGCAGGATAAAGTCCAAACTCCTGGCGCCCGTAGTCTGCAAAGCCCTCGCTAATCTCTCCAACCTCAGCCTCCTCTCCCGGCTTGGCCCTCCGTTCATACTCAGCTGCTCACAGTTTCCCACAGACATGTGGGCACTCTACCCCTGCCTTTGCACCTGCTGTTTCCTGCCCACTCATTCTCTCAGCCTCCAAGACGCAGCTCATGCACTGCCTCCTCCAGGAAGCCCTCTGGGCTGGGTCAGAGTCCCCTTTCGGAGCTGGCACAGCCCTGGTGCTTCACTCTTTACAGTATTGATCACAGTTTAAAACTCATCTCCCCCCACCAGGCTGGGAGCTCCCCCAGAGCAGAGACTGACTCCATTTATCTGAGTCCCCCTCCCCCAGCCCAGAGCCTGGCCCAGATGTCATCTCCTCTCTGGGTGTTAGAGATTCCAGCTTCATCCTCACCCCTCAGCTGGAGCCCACGATGTAGGGTGGGGACGGCAGTGGGGGTGGGGCAGGACAAGACTGTCACAGGGACCTCTCTCTGGTCCAGGACGTGCTGGCACACACTGGACACATTTGTGTTCCAGGGCCCTGCATGGCGGGGGTCATGGGGCTTACCAGGCCTTGGTACTGCCTCTTTGGGGATACTGTCAATACTGCATCCCGGATGGAGTCCACAGGGCTGCGTGAGTGTCTCATATTTCCATCCTGCCCGGGGAAGGGCCCTCTCAATGATCCCCGCAGCCTGGCTGTTTGAAACAGTGCTTAGTAACCAGATCACCGCCTGGTGGCGGCATACCCTAGTTGTCAGCAAGGCAGCTGTAAGGAGGTGATGTCGTCACTGGTTCTTTTAACTTTCCACAGCGTTCTGTGATGATCTCATGAGAGAATTAGCAGAGAGAACAATGACTGAGAGGCAGGAGACCGGACCCCTAGCCCTGCCTTCCTGGTCTGCCTAGTGTCCTTGAGCAGAACGCTCTCCCTCTGGGTCTTGGTTTCCCCATCCTTACAGTGAGGACACCCCTTCCAATTTTTTAAAATGCCGTTTTAGGTTCTTGCTGGCAGCAGGAGCCACTCTGACTGTAAAAGCTGAAGTCCTCGGACCTCTGCCTCTGGTTGCACGGATTGTGAGCTCTGTAATGTTGTTCAGTGCGCATCCTGCATAACGCAACATGGCGGCCATACTGGGGGGTCCTGGTCTTAAAAGAAAAATAAAAACTGCTTATCTGCTCTGACTCAGGCTTCATAGACTTCCCTACAAATAGAAACTATGTTCCTAGAGGTTCTGGCTTCATCTTGAGTTCCTCTGAACACTCAATCTATGTAATTTGCTTTTCCTCGGGGCCTCTGGTTTAGCGACCAACATTCTACTAGAGGGCCAAGAGGGCAGAGAAAGGGTATCATATGAATCAGAATTTTGTATACCACTGGCTGGAACTGGGGCTGTTACAGGCTCTTGATGATTTTACCGAACGCTAGGTACACTGCCACCAGGTGGTGACTTGGTTACTACCTTTCTTCTCAGCATACAGAATTCACGTCAGCAGAAGCACAGTCCAGACACTGCTCAGCCTGGATGAAGGCTACAAAATTGACATCAGAGGCCAGACTGAGATAAAGGTGAGAGATTTCTCTCCTGGGATTAACGGGAAAAGCCCCCAAAGTTCCAGTTTCTGTGGGCAGTGGGAGAGATTCTCATCTGACTAATGTAGCTGAAGGAAATGCCTGCCTGAAGTTGGGGATGGAGCTGATCACCTTTACATGTCCTGTCAACTCCCCAGATTCTAAAGAAACATTTCTTCCTGGGAGCCACTCCCTCATTTGGCTCCTCATGAGGAGAGGGGCCAGAGCAAGGAAGTTACTTCTGTTGATGACCTACCTGGGCAGCATGTTGGTACACAGCATATATTAACATACTTATTACTCATAGCAATAATGAAAGGAGGACCAATGTCCCCATTTTATAGTGGAGGAAATTAAATTAGAGATGCAAAGTGACTTGTCCAAAATCATACAGCTTGTATCCCAGGTCTGGTGGCTCCAAAGCCTGCACCTTCTCCATAGCACTGTTGGGCTCCTACTCATCCCTCAGAACTCTAGCACAGACATCACCTCTCGCTGAAGCCTGCCTTGACCCAGAACACTCTCTTTCTTCCTTTCCCCTAGCAGTAACTATCATGCCTTCTCTGTGCACCCACCAGTCCCACCACCAGCTCTCTGCTGCTGTAGGTGTGATGTAGGGTTGCACTTACCCATGAGCACCTTGAAGGCAGAGATGGCTCCAGCCTCTGCATTCTTTTTTGAATGTTAAGATTCAGTATTCCTGTGAATGACTTTTCTTCCTACCCCACCCTCTCCCATTCCCCCAGTTCCTCAGCTAGAGCCAGGCCTGGTGGGGAGACAGGAGCTGCCCAGGCCTTTAAAGGCCCAGGGCTGCAACTGGGCCCCAGAAATTGGGTGTCTACAGGACTCACTTCATTACATTGTGGAATGTCAGAGCAGGAGGGTGTGGCTCAGAAAGGGGCAGCAGCTTGTCCATAATCACACAGCCGGTGAGGGCTGGCACATGTGGAATCCTTGGCTCTGGAGGCTGAGGTTATGGGAGGGAGCATGAGCTGGAGTGAGTGGGGGCAGGCCTGTCTTGTTGGGGGAGTGGGCACTGGGTGTCCTGATGACAGAGGGGGTGCAAAGAGGGAGCGAGGAGGGCAGCACGCCCAGCTTAACTTCTTCAGCTGGCCTGGGGGCTCCAGGGGGCAATACCATCCCTGGCCCAGGGTGGGATACAGAACCCCTAGACCAGCCAGCCCTAACCTCAGTGCCCCTCATGCCCCCTCCACTCCCAACCTCCAGGCAGCTGCACTCCATCCCAGGGGAGGCCAGCAGGTCCTTCAATAGCTGGGGAGGGTCACAGATCAGAGACTCAATGGCATCTTAGCATTCCACATCTGCTGCTCATAGAATTCGTGATTCATGATTTCTCTTCTAACAGATAAATATTAACTCATTTAATCCTGCCACCAACTCTATGGAGCACTGTGGAAACTGAGGCACAGACAGGTGAAGTAAGTTGGCCAAAGTCACACAGCTAGCGAGTGACAGAGCCAGGATTTGGACTCAGATAGTCCACCTCTAGGCTCTAGGCTGCTCTCCCCGAAGCCACTGGAATGGCTCACCTCTGCCCGGCTCTCTGCCTGGGGAGGTTTGCTCAATGCCCTTTCCTCTCTCTTCCAGGGTAAGGGCATGGAGGAGACCTACTGGCTGGCGGGGAAGGTGGGCTTCCCCAGACCCCTCCCCACACCCCTGGATATCAGACCTGGGTGAGTAAGGGAAATTTCTCCAGAAGCTTGAACTCGTTTGTTTGAAATTTGATATTTGTTATTTTTCTGATTATGAAAGTATTACCTGCCTGGTGCAGAAAACTTGGAAAATACAGAATTCTTTAACGATTAAATAACCACTATCTTCCCACTCCTGAGAGGCAGCCACTGTGAGCGCTCAGCGGGCTTCCCGTTTCCGGTGTGTTTGTCGTGGGTGAGAGCATGCTGCCTTGATACCTTCTCATTCTGATCCATGCTCTCGGCTCAGCATCCCGGGCACCCTCCCAGCTTGCTCAGAGCACTTTATAAACACACAGGTAGTGACAGCATCAGGATTGCAACACGCGGGCGCGCCAGGATTAGCTCACCGCTTCTCTTGTGGCTGAGCACGTAGAATCTTCCTATTCTGAGTTGGTCACGGTAAAGTGTTGATAAATATCACCGAGCATTTGTCGCCGTTCTGACTATTTCTGCAGACGAGGAATTTATAGACCAAGGGGCACTCACATTTCAGGGGCCAAATGAAGCCGATTCTCCACGAGCTTGTGCCTACCCAGCAGCTTGGCTCTTCCCTATGTCCTCTGTCCTGTGAGATCCCATGTCCCAACACAGGTGGGGTGGAGGGAGGGAGCAATAACACTTTACTCCGACATGCCGTTCCTCACTCCTTACCACCCAAGCACTGGACAGTTCACAGGGGGCCGGAGAGCAAGGGGCACAGGTGTGGCCAATTGCTGAGAATTACAGTTTCCTAGAAATGAGGAGGCCCCGGGGCCCACGGGGCCCACAGGCTCGTTCCACCAGTGGGGAGGCTGAGCCCGGGGTGGGCAGAGCCCTGTCCTGGGCCCCACAGCACAACTGCATCAGAGCTCCCTGCCCAGAGTTTTTCCTTTATCAGAACTCCCGGCTGGCTCCTCTCAGCTCTTCCAGGATGGACCCCCACCCAAGGCTGCCCCCTCCCGTCGCTCAAAGACAAGAAATGTGCAGGACACACATGGGCTCCCTGGGAACAGACCAGCGCTAAGCAGCCCAGGCTGTGCGTCCTCCGGGCGGATGGGCTGACGTGGACAGGGGCTGCTGGCAGGGAGTCAGTTGCAGAAGCCACTTCCTCACCGTGCTGCCGTCAGGGTGCCTCAAGGCCTCAGGGCCCCAGGGACTCCAGGCCAGAGTGGCGCCTGAGGGCAGGAACTGTCCGCGTTCATCTCTGAGTGCCCTCCTCCAACACACAGCCGCATCCAGTGAGGGGGGGTGGATGGGCACACACTGGCACATGGAGAAGGGCCGGGGTGCAGAACACACAGACGCATCCGTTTTATGAGGTCATGCCAGCCTCCTGGGTGCAGAACCAGCTGAAGTTCACAGAAAGGCCACCGCACAGCCCAGGGTCCTTCAACTTTGTGGACAGTCTTGGCGTGGACAGCTTGCCGGGCGGCAGTGCGGGGTGAGGACAGGGCTCAGGTAGGGGGCACGGACTGGTGTGTGAACTGGGGCAGGTCCCTGTCCTCTCTGGGCCTTCCCATGTGCCATAGCAGCCCCAGCTCACCCATTCCCCGGGGAGGACGGCTGGGGTCCTTCATGCCCTTTCCCCATCCAGCAAGGTCCTCTGTGCCAGCCTGCTTCTCCTGCCCCTGGGAGAGAGGAACAGGCCGTCCCCTGCCCTCACAGCCACGCTGCGCACCCCGCTTCTCTTCTCCATGCAGAGCCGCACTTCTCAGAAGGCCCGTCGGCTGACGCTGACTTCACTTCCTCACCTCCCACTCCCGCCCAGCCCCTGCAGTCTGCCTTCCACCCCCACCTGCCCAGAAGGCTCTGTGAAGGTCACCGGTGACCTCCACCTGTGTCACTAGATCCGTGGGCAGTTTTAGTTCTCACCCGAGTGCTCAGCAGAATTTCCCCCTTGCTCTCCCTCTTCCTAGAAACACCCTCTTCCTCGGCCTCCTCGGCACCCGCTGTGCTCCCTCCTCTCCAGCTCGTCCTCCATGGGCTCCCCGCCTGCTCCTCTCCTCCCCCGAATCCTTAAATGCTGGGGGTGCCCAGGGCTCCTCCCTGGGGCTGCCTTTCCTATCCGGATGCCGCCGACACCCCTCGTGGGCCTCGGGCCCCACCACCCCTCTGAGCTCCAGGCCCTGCAGCCCCTGCTGCCCCTCGGTGATTCCTTCTGGAGTCTTCCTGGCACTGCAGACCCACTGGGTGCACCTGCCCCACAGCCTGGCCCTCCTCCAGAGTTCTCTCCTCCTGGACAGCCTCACCTTCCTTACCTGGAGGGCTGGGTGCTGTCCTGGAATCCTCAGCAAGTCCTGTAGCTCAGCCTCCCTCACATCCCACCTGACGGCTTCTCCCCCTCCACCTGGGCCCCTCTGCTGGCCCACTGCAAGGGCTCCTCGCCACTTCCCCCATCCACTGGGCCCCCTCCATGCATCTCCGTTGGCATCAGCTATTTTTTAAAGAAAATGCAAACATGCTCAATACGAAAGTTCCCTGTGTAACACTCTTGGGGTCTTCCTACTACTCTGAGGCTCAAGCCCGAACTCTTGCAGGCTGCCTCTGAGGCCCGGCTCCAGCTGGTCTGTGCCTGCCCCTCGGCCTCGTCTCTGCTGCCACCTTCTGCCCTGTACCACCTGCTCAGGGCCTCCTTGCTGTTTCTTAAAACACACTGAGCTTCTCCCCACCACAGGGCCTCTGCTCTTGCTGTCCCCTGTACCTGGAACGCCCTGACCTAGTCCCTTCCTATTGTGCAGGTCCCAGCTCTGATCTCACACAGTAGATGGAGCCCTGCTGTCACCCTCTACCCCACCTCCCAGCGTGGCGGCCCCCCATAGCATGTGTTACTCCCTGGTATTTCCTGCTGACATGTTTATGGAACTTTCCCCTGACCACGTAAGCCCCAGGAGCTCCTGGCCGACGATGCGCCTGCAGGTGCCCCAGCGCCCGGCGCCCAGGGAAGGGGAGATCTCCAGCTCTCACCATCTCCCCAGCAGGGCCTGGCCCTGCGGGCACTGGGCAGCCCTCGCCCAGCCTCCCTGGCCCACCCGTTCCCGGGAGTGGGAACCTGCAGGTCTGGCGGCCATCTGTCATCCGAACTCCCTCAGCCGATGACTTTTCCACTCCTGGACAGAAACTTTAGAAAGTGCCAGAAACGTTTTCTTCTTCTCGAGTCAGGGAGGGAGGAGAGTGGAGATTAGCCCCAGTGAGCTCCACCCGACGTGGGACCCTTCTGGGCCTCCAGGCAAGAGAGGAGAATCCCACACCCACCTAGGCCCACGGGCTCAGATCCAGTACATGGCACACACACGTGCACACACACGCTACACCCGTTGTGGGCACGAGGTTCACACACACGTGGAAGGCCCACCATGTGCCCCTCTGCTTGCCTGGAGATGAGATCACAGACAGACCAACGGACGCACACACACAGAATCTCTACAGGAAGGGCTTGGGGTACCAGCTGGATGGAAATGTCTTGGAGTTGTGTTTACAAGGCAGTTACCAAATTTTTACCTGAACTGTGTGCTATAGCTTGATTTTTTAAGTTGAGTTTTTAAAGATGCTTTTATTGTCACTTTCTGTATTTGCTGTGTCTGCAGAGGTTATTTATATTTGTATTGTGTGTTTGGGGAGGCTGGTGGAGATCGGGGAAGGGGACAGAAGCCCCTCCCATGTCCTGGTGCAGACATGACCAGGCAGCAGGGCCCACAGACGTGCTTCTCATCACGCGTCACAGAGACACCCCACACAGTGGCCCCTTCTCTCCCCTCTGCCCCTGTCAACCAGGCTCAAAAATGTCCCCTGCCAGGTTGCTGTGAGGGCCTGGCTGTCACTGGGAGCCCTGCTCCCCTCTCTGTACAAAGGTCATAACCCGCTCTCCCCTCCTCCAGGCACGTGTGGGAAGCAAATGAGAAAATGAGTGTGTGCAGGGTCCAGCGTCCCTACTCCAGATTTGCATCATCTGGGGACAGTCACAGAGCCCCTCACCCCACAGCATGATGGCCTCCCAAGGTCACGTCCTGAGTAGGGGACAGAGCTGGGCTAGGTCCCCGTCTCCCCTGGACTGAAGCCACCCATGCAGACGAGTCAGCAGCCCTTCACCTCTCTGAGCCTTGGTCCCCAAGGTTCCGAGTGCGGAGGGCACCGGTACGCCCACGGTAGGGCTGCTGCAGGGACCGGGAGAAACCAAGGAAGTGAAAAGAGCCCCTTGTGAGCCGCTGTGGGCTCTAGACGCCCACCACTTTTGTTCTGGGGGTGGGCTTATTATTCTTGTTTCTCCTCTTTCCCTAGGGACCCCTGGCAGGACCTCATAATCTGAGAAATCAAGGTGGCTTTTGCCAAAGCCCGCCAGTGCCGGGCTGGGCCTTGGGGCTCAGGGCAGGCTTCAGCCAGGCCCTGAGGAGGGGGACAGAGTGGGGCAGGGGCCTGCACCAGCTGGGGACACCCTCAACCCCTCCCTGTGCCACTCTCCTCAAAGAATTCTTTCTCTGAGCTCCCTGGCAGCCACCCGGGTGCTCGATAGTAAGCACTCTGGAGCGACATTAATCGGTGCATTCCAGGATGAATCCTACAGGCAAACTTGCCTCTTGACACAAAAACAATAAAAACAGAAATATGCCCTTCCTTTCATGCAGCACTTTGTTCTTGACAAATCATTTTGACTCTGTGAGCTTGTTATTGTAAAGCTCATTGTTCTCGCATCAAGAGCATGGTCCCCATTGTACAGCCGAGGTGCCCAGGCCCAGAGGGAGGAGGCCATTTGCCCCGGTGGCACGGCTGCCATGGGCAGAAGCAAGACGGGAACAGGAGCTGGCGCCAGGCAGACGAGAGCTCCAGGCTCAGGTGGGCCACCTGCTCGCGTCGCATCACTTCTCAGAACCTCTGTTTTGTCATCTCTAAAATGGGCGTTGAGAGGGCCCATATAAGGCTTGTTCCTAACACAGGGCTGGGCCCACAGCAAATGCTGGAGTATGCTGCCTCCTTCCCTGCCTCTCCTCCTCGAGCCACCCAACCTTTGGGCGTCTGTGAGCACTGTGTTGGGAGTCCAGGTCTTGGGCTCCCAGAATCTCAGGGAAGGGGCGGGGAGGGGAGTGATAATTCCTTGGTTCTTAGGAAAATGAGACTTCTGTCTTACAGGGAAAAAAAAAAAAAAAAACAACCCACAACCAACTCATTTAACTGGCTTCTGACATCAAAGAGTGCTCACCAGACCCCCAGGCTGATTTCAGAGCCGCCAGACCAGCGCACGTGGAATTCATTTCCCTGACTGAGGGGAGAGGGCGAGGGCCGGGGGGAGGTTAAGCTCTAAACAAACTCTCCTTCTTCAAAAGACCACTCAGGAGGAGGAGCTGGCACTGGAACTGAACTGGGGGTCGTTGGGAAAATGTTCTGCCAGGCGCAGTGCTCACAGAGGCCAGGCTGCCTCTGTGTGTGTGTGTGTGTGTGTGTGTGTGTGTGTGTGTGTGCGCGCATGTGTGAAAGAGAGGGATGTGGATGATGTGTGCTTGGAGCCATGAGCTGCTGTGTGGTAGAAAGTGCTAGACTTGACTTTGGGAGATGCCACTGTGGCCCCTACCTGCATGATTCCGGGCCTAATCATTTTACGCCTCAGTTTCCTCAAATGCGGAATGGAGGCAGTCACCCTCACCTCCCATGTCCTTGTGAGAATTAAAGAGAGGACTGTGGGAACACCATGTCTGGTCCCAAGCGAGCCTGTGGGGTGCTGAGAAGGGAGGGTCTGCGCGTGCCTGTCTGTGGGACATGGCCACGGCTTTGTGAGTGATCGTGTCTGTCTGTGAGTGGGGTGCAGCCATGGGGTGGAGGGTCAAAAGCATGGCCCTTGTTCCTCCACTGACCTCTGCGGCCTCCCTTGGCCTGTGGATTTTCTCTCCAGGCCTCAGTCTCTTCCTCTATGAGAGGAGCGTTTGGTCAGGTGACTGTGAGGTCCCTCTGGGCTGTGGGTAAACGGAAACCCTGCACGGTGGGCAGACACAAGGAGACAGGAGTTCAAACCAGGACCCAGCTTTCCTGCTGTGAGCCAGTCAGGGGGCCTCTCTAAGCCCCCAGCTCCTCACTGCACAACAGGGACCAGACCCGGCCCTGCCTGCCTTATGGGGCTGCTGTTAGGTCAAAGGAGGCGAGGGCTGCGAAGGCACTCTGTCCCATGAGGAGTGTGCTGCGGCCGTGACTCAGGGTGCACATGTGTGCGACAGACCTGCGTGGCTTTGTGTGTATTATGTGGATGTCAGAGCTCAAAGGGCCCTGAGCAGGCAAGGGACACGTCCCCGTGCATGCCTGTGTCTGCATGTGTATGCTGGTCTGAGGAGGTTTGTGTGCGTGTGCATTTATGAGTCTGTGTGGGCTGTGTATATGCACTTGTGTGTATGTGGCCTTGGTGTGTCTGCGTGTATGCTGCTTTAGCTGTGTGTGTTATGTGTCCAAGTGTGTCTGTCTGGGCACCAGAGTCTGGGAGCAGCGGCAGATCTCCTTCTATCAGTGTCTGTGCACACAATGTGTGTGGTGTGTCTTGTACATGTGTGGGTTGTGCGTTGGGGTGTGCCTGGATCCAGCCATGGGGCTCCTTGCTCTTGGGCCCTCCAGAATGGTTGTGGGTGGGGGCAGCCCCTGACCCTCCACCCACCCTCTGAGCTGCCCACTCTCAGAAGGGCTGAGGCAGCTTGGTTCTCTGAAGCCCCTGCTCAGACCCCCTCAGGGCAGAGCCTGGGGGCTCCGGGAGGGAACTCTGGCTCCAAAGATGCACACTGCGTGGGAATAGACCCTACACACCGGAGTCCTCGCCTTTCCCCAAACTTCCTCCATCAGCGGGGACGAGGTCACCAAGGAGGAAGGCCAGCGCCCACTTGGCTCCTGCGTCGTGCCCCTGCCCAGGGCTGGGCCGGTTTCCTCTATGCTGGAAGGTTTGGAGCTCACTTATTCCACGTTTATCCACTGCTTGCTGTGCACCAGGCCCCAGGGCCTGGAGCTTCCACGCATACTAGCTCAACCACAGCCACCCTCGGAGACAGGAGTTATCGCCTGCTGTCTAGATGAGGAAACGGAGGCTCGGAGGGGTGAAGTGAGTGGTCCATGCCAGCCTCTGTCTGTCTCCTGATCTGAGGCAGTTACACGGTGCTACAAAAGTACAGAGAAACAGCAATGGTCCCTGGAAGGCTTCCAGAGGGGGCGGCCTCAGGGGACACACAGCTGTCTCTTCCGTGAACCGGGGTGAGGACAGACCTTCCTGGTAAGGCCAAGGAGGCTCTGGGAGCTGGCCCTCCTCTCATGAGGAGCCGGCCCAGCATTTGCATGGGGCTTCCGTGCACATGTCCGGGTAGAGCCCCAGATATGGGGCCCCAAGTCATGACTTTCATGATGAGTCAATGCCAGCTGGTCCCCATGAAGTCCCCCTCCTTTTCCCCACCAGACTTTCCAGCAATGGGACACTCCTGACATCTCTAGGGGATGGGGTTCTCCCTTTGGCAGATGGGGCCATGGGGCTCCAGAAGGTCCTCGTGGGGTGGGTGATCTGGGATTGCTTGGCTCATCGTTCTTCAGGCAGGCACGATTTGGGATGGACTTCTTGGAAAAGTCCAAACACTAGCCTGACACTTCAGGCCCTACACAGGCTGGGCTCACCTCATCTGCCCCCTACACACCCAGCCCTCTGGCCATGACAGATTGCTTACTCCTCCCCAAGCCCCTCATGATGCCACAACTTGCTCTTGCTATTTTCTCTACCTAGATGACCTTATCCCTTTTTCAACATTTGGTGAACTCCTACACATCCTTCAAAGTCCACTGAAAAGCCACCTTCTCCTGAAACCCTTTCCCAACCGCCCTCTGTATGTAATTATTGGTTGCCACGCCTGACCCTCACTTGATGGCAGGAACATTATCTAGTTTGTTCCTTTAGTCCAATGCCCAGGAAGAGGTGTGCACTGGGAGGCTGAATTGATGAATAAAGAAACTAATGAACTAGTTAGCCCAGAGGCTTTTAAAACAGTCTCCCCTCCTGCAGTGCCAGCTCCATATGTACCGAGCATGTTGTGTGTGTGTTGTTCTCTGCACCTGGGCTTGCTCAGTTGGGATCCTGCATAGCAGGTGCGGTCGGCCTGTCAGCCTGTGGCCTCCCTGACTGTCCTGTCTCTCCTCACCACCACCCCTCCTCTTGCGATGGACGCTCTCACCTCCAACACCTGCACCCACCTGGGTGCTCTTCCCCAGCCCCTCTGCTTCCCAGCCCTTCTGGCCAGCTCCTCCTCAACCTCTGCTCCTCTGCTGCTTCCTCCAGAAAGCCTGCCCTGAAACCCTCCCTTCCACCCCACGTACTGCAGGAGGGGCACCTCCTCTGGCCCCTCAGCCCCCTGGCCACGCAGTCCGGCCCTGCTCCTGCAGACTGGAGACTTCCTGAAGGCAAGACTGGATCTAAGCCCTCGTTCTGTGGCGCTGGTGGGAGAAGAAATGTAACAGGGCAGGGGAGGTGGAGGAGGCCACTGTGGTGGCCGGTGAACCTCGCTTTAAGGAAATCCACCTGCATGAAAATCCAGATCTGCTCAAAGACTGTTAGAACTGTCTACAGTCTTACATGGGGAAGCAAAGCGACATAGAGGGGGAGGGAAGGGGCACACATGTACCGGGCATGTTGTGTGCGTGTTGTCTCAGGGAGCCGTCCTCGCAGCCCTGGGAAGTGGGTGCCATCGTCCCTATTGTTGCGGAGTTCACCTGGGGCTGTCAGATGCCGAAGCCCAGGTTCTTCCCCGAGGGCCAGCCATGCCACCTCTTGTCCCAGCTCTGCCCCGGACTTGCGTGCACAAGCCACTCCTGCTCAGGGCCCCAGTCTCCCCATCAGGACATGGACCCGGTGGCCCAAATCTCCAAGGTCCCTTTCCAAGAGGTTTCTGTGCGTCCTCGAGACTCTTCAGAAGTCCACTAGGGGGCAGGCAAGCTGTTCCAGAGAGAACCAGGAGCCCCTCCAACAACCCCCAGATTCTTGGCCCCTCCCCAGCCTCCAGGCTCCCTGGGCTCAGCTGCCCAGCCAGGGAGGGAGGATGGTGCCGCAGGGATAGGCAGGGCCCCATCGCACAGAGGAGTCTTGCTTGGGAATCTCCCTGACGACTGGAGGACAGTGAGAGTTCAGCAGATCTCAGTGTCCTCTTCCCGTCTGAAAGGCCTGGCCCAAGTCAGCACGTGTCAGAGGTTTGTCCAGTCTCTAGCCGTTTGCATCTCCTCTTAAATAACATGTGGGTGGTGCTGAGTCTGATCCAGTGCTCTCCTGGATGCCGGCTCACTCGGCCCACCGCACCCTCTCCTAGGAGGCGGGTGTAGCGGTCCCCACGCACGGACAGGAGAATGAGGCTCTTAATGGCAGTTCTCTTCCATTGCTGACTTAGACCTTCCTTCTGGGCTCCAGGCCCAGCATCTCCCCAATGAGCCACAGATCACCCTGACTGTGCTCTGCCCTGTCACCTGGCCAAAACCCGGGGTGATCACCCTCTCTTCCCTGTCCTTCCCATGGCCCTCTCCTCACCCCGTGATCAATCCCCAAATCCATCCTGCCCACCACGATGGTCTCTGCCTTTGTCAAGGCCCCATCACTGGGGTCCTCAGCAACGGCACTGCGCTCCATGCTGCTCTCCTGCCTCCATTCACCACTGGCCCCTGCCGTCCCCAGTCTACCTGCAGCACAGACCTCGCCATGTCGCTTTCCTACTTAGCACGCTCCCCACTGCTGATGGCCAGGGCCTTTCGCCATGGAGCTCCTGCCAGTGGAGCTACCTACCATCTCCCCTGATGCCCAGCCCTTTCCCACCCTCATCCTGTCTTCTCAAATTGCTCAGACCCCCAGTTTCAACCTGGAGAATTTTTATTATAAAAAGTAGTCCTACAAGTAGTTATAACAACTCCCAAAACTGGGAAGCAATGGCCTGAAGACTGTGTAAACTTCTGTCACCATCGTGTCCAGGTGCAAAATCCTTCCAGCTCAAGGAGCATCACAGTATTCTCTTGGCCCATTTCCAGAACTGTCATTAGGTTCACAGCCTGGGGAAGCCAGGCTGTGGGGGCAGTCTCTGTTCCCCCTTGTGCCCACCTTGAGCCCACGCTCAGCTCTTGTACATAGCTCTAAAACCAGATCCAACTTCCCAGAGCATCGATGAGAAGTGGAGAGTTTGCTGGAGCTTTCCTGGGAGCCAGAGAAGACGTACATCCTCGTGCGTTGTGCAGCCAAGCTTCGTGAACCTCTCCAGACCTCTGGTTCTCCCTCCCAGCCCCCTCCCCAGCAGCGCCCCCTTTTCCCTCCACTCTTCCCCACCACCCCCTTGCCTCCCCAACCCCCTGTGGTCCCAAGCCAATCAGTATGCAGCCTCAGCCACCTGCCTCATTGCGTTACCCAAAGAGCAACCACAAGATGGATTAAAAGCCCAGGAGCCTTTTAAAGGATGTCTTCAAGTCTCCCCCCATGGGCAGCCCATTGGAGGGTCTTTATTTCAGGAATCAATACAGATGGAATATCTTCACTTTAATCCTCACTACAATCATGCAAGGTAGATATTATTCGATAATTCTATTCTACCCCATATTTTTGTTGACACTACTGAGACTCAGCCCAAGGTCACCCAGCAAGCCAGTGGCAGAACTGGACCTTGACCCCAAAGCCCCCACCACAGGCACCATCCTGGCTACCTTGTCAGCCACAGCCACAGCCACGTACTACATGGAAAAAGGTGATGCAGACACAGTGACAGCCTCAGTCACCAGCCGCAGGGTGGGACCAGCCAAAGGAAATGGGGTGAGTTCTGGGGTGAGGTCCAGAGGAGTAGGCAGGTGAGGCTGGGGCCCCGGGTGAAGCCAAGGCCGACAGCCAGGTGTCTGGATGGCGGATGGCGGATGGCGGATGGCAAAGCTGAATGGGGAGACGTCAGAGCGTGCTGTGGACAGGGGTCAAGGTCGGAGACTGCAGTGTACATGGGGCAGTGGGAGAGCGAAGCAGCAGGGAACCCAGTGAACTCTGGCCACCAAGGAGCCTTTTAAAGGGCTAATCCAGGCCTTCCAGGCACTGGGATGGATGTCTTCAAGGCTCCTCCTGTGGGCAGCCCAAAGGAGGGTGAATTTCTCACTCCTGCGGCCACAGTCCCCCCTCTCTTGGCCTCCTGGACTTCTGTAGCACAGCCGTGAAGAGCCCTTTCAGTCAGAGGACTCAGCTTTTTTTTTTTTTTTTTTTTGGTATGGGAGCCCCATAAGCCTGTTCCTACAGCCCTCACCTCTGGCAACTCTAAATGGAGAGAGAGACAGACAGAGAGGGGAGAGATGGGAAGGGAGAGGGAGAGGGAGGAGACGACAGTGAGGGGAGAGATGGGAAGGGAGAGGGAGAGGGAGGAGAGGAGAGGGAGTGTGGCAGAGATAACTGAGGACAGTTGGGAGAGAGCAGGAAAGGAGAGAGAAGATAGAGGTTGTATGTGTGCGTGTTGTGGAATCTGGCCCCTGTGAGTATTGAAAGAGACAGGAAAACGGGAAATGTGACACGGGCTTGGCCCCCCAGGGCCATCAAAGGGTTTTAAGCAGGGAGTGAGCTGGTCGAATCTGTGCTTTGGAGAGACTCCATCTGGCCGCCACGTGGAGGATGAATGGCTGGATGATGAACAGGAAAGGGAGACGCTGGAGCAGGAAGCTGTCCTCGCGGGAGGGTGAGGGGAGAAACAAGCGGAGGCCAAAGCAGGAGGGAGACCCAGGAGCTTCCACATTTAAAGATCAAGGGGAGCAGGAGGGAGGAGGGGAGGGGCCAGGAAAGGATCCAGGAGGGGATGCTGGAGACCTGGGAAGAGAACCAGGAGAGGGCATCTCAAGGTGCCAAGGAGAGAGGGCCGTCCAGGAAGGAGGGAGTGGGCAGCTGTGAAGCATGCAGCCAAGTGACCAAGTGCTCAATGGAGCTGGGGACAGAAGTATGTCTGTCCACAGCAGTTCTGGACGGGGAGGTTGGGGATGCGCTGGTTGGAAGGATGGGGCTAGAGGCCAGTGGAGGAGGCAGTGAGGACGGTGGAGGGGAATGGAGACAGCAAGAGCAGGGAGCAGCCTGGACAGGGCTGGCTGGGTGGAGACAAGAGTAGGGGGCAGCAGCTGGGGGGACCCGGGAGGCCTGGAAGGGGTTTGTGAAATGGACGAGCGTCCATGCTGACTGACGGGAGATCCTGCAGGGAGAGGGGGTGCCCAGTTTTCCCAAGAGGCGGCCTCTGCCAACGGGAAGCGCAGCCCGTCCCCCGGGAGGCCAGACGGGCCCTGATGGCCGCAGAGGTGAGGTTGGCTTTAAGGGTCTGGTTCAGGCCTCAGACCCAGGTCTCCTGCCCCCAGCACACAGGGGAGAGGGAAGGCAAGCAGGCAGAAGTCACCCAGCCCAGAAGAGGCCAGCGAGCAGCAGTCCAGAAGGCTGAACACTCATGCCTACACTTCTAGGCCTAGAGAGAGGGCTGGCCGTAGGGACAGGGCCAGGCACCCGCTCCTCAGGAGACAGGATCCAGCCCTCTGCATTCTAGAGCCCCAGCCCAGCCTCCAGGCTCCTGGGGTCCTGAGCTCCCAGCATCCCACCGGGATTAATCATGGCATCCCTAGGAGGCCACGGCAGTCCATCCAACTGTGCCCTTGCCCCTTCTTCCCTTTCACACCCCAGGAAAGCAGCCTAGTGGAAGCCACTCAGCTCATGTGTGGTCTACTTCTGAGAAAATCAGAGCCATGAGCAATTCCAGATCAGAGCCTAGCTCCCACGAGCGTGTGCACGTGTGTCTGCGTATGTGCACGTCCATACACACACACAGTATGCTCATCTGCACACCGTGTCTGGTGGACGTGCACAGGCTTGGGAGCTTGGGTGTTTTAAGTCTTTGCCATATCTATGGGACATGAAGTGTGTCCCTGGGCAATGCGGGTGGTGTATTTGTGACTACGGCATTTGCATAGGAGATATATATATATATATAAACTGTGTGCACATCACATACGCTCAGTGTGCATGCTTGTGATGTGTGCTGCATGCGTGGTATGTATACGCAAGTTGAATTTGTGCAGGGTGTGTGTATCTGTGCAGGGTGTGTGTGGCGACTGCGTGACTTTTGAGGGGATCTCTGTGAAATGTTTGTGGAGTGTGCGTCTGTGTGAGGTTTTTGCGTGAGGTTGATGCATGCTTGTTGTTTCCATGAGTTGTGGCCCCGTGTGTCCCGTGTTGTCTTTGGGGGTATATGTGAAGGTGTGTGGAAGTGTGAGTGCTTGTGCAGGTACGCTGTGTCTGTGGGGGGAGCACGTGTGTGGAGGGGTGTCCTTGGGGGAGGCATGACAGCCCAACACAGCAGAGAGGGGCAGAGTTCCAGCCCCCACTTTGCCATCTCCTGGCTATGTGACCTCGGGCTGGCTGCTGCCCCCTCAAGCCCCAGATTCCCCCACGGGCCAGCACTGAGGTTCTCCAGAAGGCCCCGTGGTCATGAGGAGGAAGGCCACGTGAGTAGGACAAGAAGGGGTCACAGGCGCCTACGCTAAAGAGGACCCGTCCCGGTGAGAGTTGGGTGTCCCCAGGCCCCTGCCCCCTCGCTGTCCTCTGGGGGCCCCACCTGTCCCCCAGCAGAATGGACATGCTGCCCACTCTCACTGCCCGAGTGGCAGCCACAGCCGCATTTCAGGCAGGTCCCCTCCGCACATCCCTGGAGCACAGCCCAAAGAAGCTTTACAGACCACTGGCCTCCCTCCCTGAGCTAAACCAGCATGAAGAAGATAGAGCAGCTGCCCAAAAAATGCAAACAACAACCCGCCAGGAGTCATGAGCAGCGCCGTCAACAGGGTGAGCGCCACGGGCGGGCGGGCACTTAACACAGAGGAGCTCACTCTTCAAACAGCCCTCCCTGTCCGTCATTGCTCCACTCTACAGAGACAGAACGGGTTCAGAGAGGTGAGGCCACCAGCCCAAAGTCACGCAGCAGTGGGCGACACAGTAAGGATGGGAACCAGGTGGGTCCCTCTCTGAAACCGGGGCTGCTCTCTTCCTCAGCTTAGTCCTACTCAGGCCCCTCCTTACCCCACCCAAGAAGGGGAGAAATACAGTGGGGTATCAGGGTAAATTTGAAGACTTTTAGATTATCTGCTCATTTGGCTAATTAATGCTCCATCAGTTGACAATACAATAAAGCATTAAGCGGGTCTGCACTGGAGCCCCACTGGTGGACTCATCCGTACCGGCTGTTCAGGCTTGAGCTAATTCCTTAACCTCTCTGGGTTTCCTCATGTGTCATCTGTAAAATGGAGATAATAATACTAATAATAGCATCTACCTCATCGGGTGCTGGAGGATTAAATGGGTTACAACATGAAGGCTGCATTAGAAGCCTGCCGGCCCGTCCCCTTCCCCAACTGAAAGGATTCGAGGCCTCACGCTGGTCTCGGGGTTTCGCTCCTGGTAAGAAAGAGTCATAATCCTGTTAACCGTAACCTGTCCGTTTCAGTCCTTCAGTTCCGCACTCAGCAGGGAGGCTGCTGGTATCCCCGTTTCACAGCGGGTGAAGGCTGCCTGGGAGGAGACTCACCCCCGACCCGCCTGCCCCACGGCCACGCAGGTGCAGCTTCTCATGGGGGACCTGCCAACTGGCAGCCTCAGCACCCTGGCAGTTTGCTCGAGATGCAGATTCTGGGCCCCACCTCCAACCAAGCTCAGGGCAGGGCCGGGCAATCTGTTTTAATGAGCCCTCGGGGGTTCTGGCACTCTCCAAGTCTGAGAGCAGCTGGCCTAGGCAGAGCTGACTGCGTGAACCCGGAGCACCTCTGTGGGGCAAGTGAAAGAAAGGAGGGTCGGGGTGGGGGACTCATACTCTTAGCTCGCCTGCGACCTCGTCCTCACACTCCCGGGGCCTAGAATCTGCTGTCCTTCCTGGAGTGGAAGTAGAGGAGGCAGCAGGATTCTCTGAACCTTGAGGTGACCATTATCTGTGGATCACTGGTATGTGAGCCAGTTTCCAGATGCTCTGCCAGGCCTGGGGGCTCTGACCACCCGGAGGAAGATGGGCGCTCGCAGCCGCTGGGAGCACAGCACAGCGAGGAGCCCACAGCCGGGAGGGTTGGGGAGGGACCTCCAGGGAACTCCTGGAGGCAGGGTACCCCACCATGGGATGCGCTAGGGGCCACAGCCCATCTCCCCTAGGGAGCTGGGCCCTGCCTGAGGAGCCCGGGACCCACCTCTGCCCTGGGTCCCTGAGCCACAGCGCTAAGTGCTCCAACTCAGCCCCCTCCAGACACTGTCTCCCATCCCTGGGTGCTCCACCTGCCCCCGGGTCCCTTCAGTCAGCCACAGAGTCACCCACTTTCACGTGAGGAAGAAGGTATCAACAGTCACATGGACTCAGCCCCTACCCCACTCAGCCTTCCACAGAATCATGATCTCAACGCCCCCCTGAAGCTGGCAGAATGACTGTCCCCATTTTACAGATGAGAAACTACCAGGGGAGGATGACTTGCCCAAGGTCACCCAGCCTCCGGTGGCAGGGCCATCCCACAGCAGCCTTGCCTCAAATTAGCGCCGCCGTCAGGAGCTCACATGTGTCTGCTGCTGTCTCAGCCGGGCTGGCTCTGCTGCCGTTGTCATTAGCTGGGAGGTTACACTCTGTGACATCACGGGCCGTAACCAAACCCCATGGTGACAACCCTGGATCCTCAAGAAAAGGGGTTTAACCTTCAAATGGTTAAAACAGAGAAAAGTGGTGTGGCTCAAAGGGACAAACCCTCAGGTTCCCAGCAGCCCGAGCGGCAGAGAGCTGTGGTTTCACGGTCCGTGGCAGTCAAGCTGTGGAGACGCTTCTGAGCCTGCCCTGCGTGCTTCACCCAGTCTTGAGTTTTCTCACCTAACGTCCCCCCTCTCCCCGGGGGCCTCCGGGAGCCTCCAGACTCCTCAGCCCCAGACTCAGAGCCCGGAGCCTCCCGTGTGGGGGCCGAGGGATGCGCGGGGCCTCATGGGCACCGCTTTCCCTGCATTGGCTGCTCCAGGTGCCACAGTGAGGGGGTGACTCATGCCCCCCTGAGAACAGAAAACCAGCCAAGCCAGTCGCTGGCCATGCACAAGGGCCTTGTCGTCTGAGGACTCGGATGGGAATGGCTGCTTTGCCCTGCCCTGTTCGCTGTGTGACCATGGGCAAGTCACAGAATCCCTCTGAGCCTCAGTCCCTTTTCTGTAAAAGGGGTGCAACAATAGCCCCCCTCGTCAGATGAGGAGGAGGAGATAATTCAGGTAAAGTACCTGGCCCGGGCCTGGTCCTGTCAGCCCTCATCATTCCACTAGTCCTCAGAGCAAGGGACGCATCACCTGTCCCTTTATAAGCGTTGGTTTCCCAAGCACCCATTGTTGCCTTTTGGCTCACAAACTCCCTACAGCTGACACACAGCAACATTTGCTCTCCTCTCCTACTGGCCTCCGGGAGGTGACCCACAGCTGGTATGGTCTGAGCCCGGTCCCTGCAGGGAGCAAGGGAAGGAGGGCAGGAGAAGAACTGGGGAAGCCAGGGTTCTGCCCCAGAAGACAGGGGCCCAATACAGGCTGATAAGGAAACTCCCTGACTCCCAGGGGCCCACAGAGGTGCTGGGGAGGGGCAGGGAGTGAGGACAGTCATATCCTTGCACCAAGATCTGGCCTGGGGGTCCGGATACCTGGGTTCAATTCCTGGCTCCAAGGCTGTGTGACTTGGGCCAGTTACTTAACCTCTCTGAGCCTCAGTTCGCTAGTCAGTAATTGAGCATAAAGACACCTGGAAGGCTGTCTGTGGCTGTCCTGACCCTGATTTGCCACATGAGAGGAAGGATTGGCCCATGGTGGGTGTTCAGCAAAGAACGATGGAAACTAAATTGGGGGTCCGGGGTGCCATGAGGACAGCAAGGCTCAGAGAAGTTTAGTGACTTGTCCAAGGTCACACAAGATGTGCACATCATTGCCTCCCTGGGCCACTCACTCCTACTTGGGATCCTTGAGTTTGGGCCTGAGGCAAAACCCTGCCAGGGAGCCTTGAGCCTGACTTGGTACCTGAGGGTCTTTTCTCATCTCAGAAGGGTAGTCCAGGGGACACGGGAAAAGACGTGTCTCCCATCTTCCCCGACAGATACATAAGGAAAGAGAAGCATTTCCACAAAAGTACCAACACCGTGAAGACTGAGCTGCCCATCGGTGGGCTGCCCAGGAGGAGTCCCCATTCCCAAAGATGTGCAAGCAGAGCCAAGCAACACTGGACAGAAAGTTGGGCTTGGTAGCCTTTAAAAGAAAGCTGCCCTCCACATGGCTGCCAGGCAACCCAGCCCTGCTCAGGTCCAGCCTCTCCCCCGACTTCAGACCAAGCTCAGACCCCCGGACTCGGCCTTCGAGGCCTCTGGACCCAATCATCCCGTGTTCTCGTCTGCCTCCCATCTGGTCTGGGAGCTCCACAAGGGTAGGTCCTGGACACTTTTATTTACCAGCCATCTGGGGCCGCCAGGGAAGGGAGGTCACGTTTACTGAGCAAGGACCATGGGCCAGGCCCTGATCAGGTACTTTACATACATTGTTGCCTTTGATCTGCACAGCAAGCAGGGACAGCAGGTGCTCTTCCTAGTCTCACTTTGCAGATCAGCAAACTGAGGTCAGAAAGATCAAGCAACCTGCCACAAGCAAGACAGCAATGTGACCGCTGAAGAAGAGAAGAAACGAAGGAGGGGCACTGAGCACGTGGGGTTCCCGGCTTTCAGCCCCCAGTCCCGAGGGGCATCTGCAGCGGGTGGGCATGCTTGGTTGCCCATCTGTCTCCAACTCTTGGGGAGCCCCATCCGGGCACTGAGTGAGGTGGAACCCCGTGAACTAACTAACCACAACCACAGCCTTTGGTGGGGGAGTGGGAGGCAGGCCACTCCCGCCCAGCCCCCCATAGCCTCAGCCCCGCCCAGCTCAGGCCCCAGCCCAAGCTCGCACCAGCCCAGCGGTTTCTGCTTGGCGGCCGCTCAGGGAAGGGTGGGGCATGCCCAGCCGGCCTGGGCCTGGATGTCGGGGAGCAGGTGGGACAGGAGAGCCCGGGACCTGCCTGAATCCCACTCAGCCGTGCTCTGCCCACCTGCAGGGCTGCCGCGAAGCACTTCCTGGACATTTGGCCCCTTGGACAAGGATCTGGAAAAGGAAGCCCACAGGGTACACAGCAAAAATAGCAGCAGCGGCCGCAACAAATACAGTGAGGAATTACCTAACACCCACTGGGCGCAGGCTCCAGGCTGGGTCCGTTACACTCAGCTCTGGCATCAACTCTGAGAAGTAGTGACTATCTTCCCCACTTTACAGACAGGGAAACAGGTTCCTTTTGACCAGATGGAGCACTAGAGCCCAGAGACGGGGTTGGGATAACCGGCTGGGACCTCTTTGTGCACAGATCTGAGGCCTCCCGTGGCCGGGGGGGAGGGGTAGCTATGGACACCAGGTCCTCCAGCCTTTCCCACCCCTGCCCTCCGTGCAGCCCAGGCCCCTCCTGAGCGAAGCTTTCTCTGATCTGCTCTTCTGAGACTAGCTTAGGCCCTAGGCCCTGAGCAACCCCATCACAGCTTGTCCTCTCTGGGCTGTCCCCATCTGCCCAGGCCCATCCCCACAGTGAGCCAGATGGGAGGGAGGAAAGAAAGCAGCCATGTAGGATCAGGGAACCCAGCTACTAAGCACAGCTTTACCCTGATTGACCACAAAGCTTTGGGTGGTCCCTTTCTCTCTGCAAAATGGGGCACCTGTGCCACTCTCAGGGCTGCGGACCATCAGGAAAGAGAAATTGTGGTAGAGGAATCCTCTTCCACCCTTGGAACCAGGGCCCAGAGGACAGTGTGACCCTCCTCCCCCAGCACCCCCATCCTCAGGTCCACACCCAGCGGGGCAGGGTCCCTGTGATGTGGTAGGGTCAAGGCATTGAAAAGAGGAGGTGGCTTTGGGGAAGACTGCCTCAACTTCTGATGTAAAAGACAATAATAGCACCACGCTACTTTTGCACAGCACTTGAAAACCATCCGAACAACATGGTGCCTAGAAAAGGGCTCTGTGGACAGAGTGAGCTCAAATCCCTGCCTCTTACAGGCGGTGTGACTTTGGATATGTCATTTAACCTTTCCCAGACTCAGTTTCCCCAAATATAAATGAGGACCTTACCAGTCCCAGACAATTGGTTTTTATTTACATTCGCTGTGCTCATCCCTAGCCTGTTTCTGCATCTGAGAACTGAGGACTTGGGTGGTGCCGTTTCACAGGGCTGCTTAAGGGTCCGGGAGATGATGGAGGAGGACGGGTCTGGACACTAGAGCACAATCCACAGAGGGGAAGTGACCTGCCTGGATTCGCCAGAAGGGATGGCTGCAGGGTGGGGAACCCCCTCTGTGGCCGCCCCAGGGCCAGTGAAGGGTCATTTCCTTCCGTGTTCAGCCCCGCCGTCACCTCTCCTGTTTGCCCCCCCTAAGTGCAGCGGCGCCGGCAGCGGGGAAATCGTGGCCAGGCCGGATTTCCTCTGCGGACCTGCGCCTCCTAGAGCCACCCGCCCCTCCGGACCCCGTGGGGCCATGACCCGCACGTGCGGCGCCCAGCCGGCCTCGCTCGCACGGCGCTTCCTTAGCGACCCCGCTGCCTCCCCGCCCTTTCATTCCGCCCCCTTCGGCCCGCCCCTTCTCAGCCGGGGTTCCAGCGAAAAGAAGATGCTTCCCCCGCTCGCGCGTTCCGCATCAACCGAGTCACGCGGGGGCGCGCCGGCCGGCGCTAGGACCCCGCGGCCGGGCCGAGGGGGGCGTGGTGGGGCGGGTCGGCGGGAGAGGTATTTAAATTGGAGCCCGCGCCGCCCCCTCGCGGGTCGGCTCCCGTGGGGCAGCGGAGCGGCCGGCGCCTCCTCGGGCCGGGACCCCGGGGCTGGCGCGGCGGCACCGCGGGGTGGGCAGGTTTGCGCAAAATGTGCCCGGGAGAGGAGCGGCGGCCGCGCTGAGCCAGGTAGGAGCCGCCCCGGGGCGAGGCTGCCCGGCCCCTCGGGGCACCGGCTGTCCCTCCCCCGCGAGCACAGGGCGCGGAGCTGGGCTGCGGCGAGTCCCTCGGGACGCCGGTCCCCCCGCCCCCCAGCAGCCCCCTCCCGCCGCCGCCCCCACTGCGCTCAGGGGTGACCCTCCCTCAGCCCCAGAGGTCTCCCAGGCTCGCGTCTCAGCGGATCTTTCCCGGGAAGGGCGAGGCCGGTGGTCCCATTTGACAGATGGGAATACCAGGGCCGAAAGGCCGGCTCTTGCGGAACGCACGGCTAGTTCGGGGCAGACCAGGATTTGAATCCAGGTCTCCTGCCGCCCTCGGACCCGGACCGCGCGTGGGGCTTCCCAACCCACCGCACCAGAGAGCCTGCCCATCTGCCGGGGGCACCCACCTCTCTCTGAGGGGCTCCAAGCCAGCCTTCTTCTTGGGTGATGAGATGTGAGGGATGTGAGGGTGATGAGATGTGAGCCCACCCCCACCCTGGGCTGCCTGAAATTCCGCCATCACAGCCACATTCCTTTGGGTTAAGGTCTAATTCCCCCGTGGGATGCACATGTCTCCAGAATGGGGCTTGCCCTCTGTGATTCACTGCTGGTGGGAACGTCCACAGCAGCTCTCCCAGGACCCCACTCTGCCAGTGATCCGGGCTGAGAGGAGGGGGAGGAGCACCCCGGAGCCCAGCGCTGTGAGCCTGTCTGCTTGGGTGTGAGTGTGAGTTCGGGGGTGTGGAGGGGATTGGTGGGGGTTAGAGAGGGAGAGCTTGGCCTGGGGTAATGGAAACATATGCGTTGGAGGCACACAGACTGGATTCTGATCCCAACTCTGCTATTTACTGCCTGTGTGACTTTGGGTAAGTCACCTCTCTGAGCCTCATTTGACTCATGCACAAAACAAGGAAAATTCTGTAGGGGACGGGCAGCTCAGCACCTGCTGGGGAAACACAGCATTTGGCTTATACAAACCTGGCCCAAATCCCCAAGCACTTAGAAGCTGGGTAACTGTTGGGTCAGTTGCTTCACCTTTCTGAGCCTCAGTTTTCTCATCTGTAAAATGGAAATTATAGTAACTGCTTTATTGGGTTGTTGTGAGAATTAAGTGAGATGATTATAGGTCAAATGAATAGAAGAGTGTCTGACATCCTTATATAGTAGGGATGGGCTTATTATGATAGTAGGCCTTGCCCCCACCCCCATTTCTCTCTCTCTCTCTCTCTCTCTCTCACACACACACACACACACACACACACACACTCTCACACACATGCCCATTCTTTGGCATTTCTCCTCCCAGTCAGTCCTGCGATGTCTCCTGCCTCCTCTGGCCTCAGCCACTTATCTGCAGGCCTGGGGCCTCCCTCCTCAGCGTGTCTGGCCTGGGCTGCTCAGCCTTGTGGGTCATTGTCCCAGCTGGGAAAGACACGTGTCCGGGCATCCTCAGCTTGATCATCACAATGGTTGGGGGCAGCCAGTGGCAGAATGGAACCAGGCTACTTGCCCTACAGAGGGGACCTGGAGGCACTGAAGGATTAACGGACTCGCCCCAGGGAGCAGGGCTGGTGAGCGTTAGAGTCTGCGTGTGATCCTGGGTCTCAGTGACCCCAGGCCTCCCTGGAGAGCGGGCAGCCCTCAAATGCTACCCACTCTCGGGGCACTGCTGCAGGGTGCCCACAGCTGAGGGGCCCCTGTCTGTCAGATGCCAGGGCAGGGTTCCACGGGCTGCAGGGACGGTCCCTGCTGGATGTGCAGATGCCCACCTTGGGGGTAGAGTGGGATGTAGCAAGCAGAGGAGCGGGACCCGAGGGCCCCTTTGGGCCGCAGTGCCTTCAGGTTCAGAAGGTGTCCCGGTCCTTCCATGTCCTCACCTCGCACGTGGCACACAGCCCCCTGCAGTGCAGCTTCCGCCCCTAGCTTTGCCGTTTGTTCAGTGAGCACCACTTAATAGACCCCTCTTATCACAGAATGAGAAATAAATTATCAAGAAATGATCGATGCAAGGAAAACAATCAGACATGTGAGGATGTGGGGAAGAGCATTTAGGCGGAGGTCCTGAGGCAGGAGCGCACGTGTTGGACGAATGTGGGGAAAGCTGGAATCGGGCGAGGGAGGGGCGGTAGATGGAGTCAGCAGAGATTGGGTAAGGCCTGGGTTTTATTGGAGGTTTCCAAGCAGGCAGATTCATGGTCTGATATGTGATTTAGAGACATCACTCTGGCTGCTGTGAGGGACAGACTGGAGGGTCAGGGGTGAAGCAGAGTGTTGCCGAGGTCGAGGCCCAGGGCGGGGCCTCAGTCTGTGGCCGTGATGCAGGCGGGAGGCAGGCTGATCCTGGGGCTGTTTTTCGGGGACAGCAGACAGAACCCCTGTTGAGGGAAGGAGTATGGCAGGGAGCTGAAGGGAGGGTCAGGGAGAACAGCTGCTCTCACCAGTGTCACCGTGTCACCAACTCCTCGCGTCAATTCTCAGCACCTCCCCGGCCTGCCTGGTGGTGAAGATGGGTCCCAGAGGAGAGTGAACCCCTTCTGCCCTAGAGGTGTGGGGACAAACCACAGAGTGCTTGGTGCTGTGCTCGCTGGAACCCCGGGGGCTGTGGGAACCTGGAGGAGGGACCATACACAGCCCAGATTTGGGGAACCAGAGAGGGCTTCTTGGAGGAGGTGACATCTAAGCTGAGACCCAAAGGCTGAGGAGGTATTCCACACAAGAGAGGGGAGGAAGTGAAGGTGTGGGCCAGTGAAACAGTGCTCAGAGCACTGAAGGAAACAGGAGGCTTCCAGAACCCCGAGTGGGGAGGGGACAGTGAGAAATGAAGCTGGAGAGAAGAGCTGGTGGGCAGGGCTCGCTCCCTGAGGGCCTTGGAGGCCCCCCGAAGGGTTCCCACTCAATTCTGAGTATGCTTGCTTTCACATGGGCATGATGTTCTGCTTTTTAAACGGCAGAACAAAATTTCCTGTGAAAGCCCGACCTGTGACGCAGGTGAGAGGAGAGCAGCTGTGGGGTGTAGGGGCCCCTGGCACTGAGGGGACACTGTTGCAAAGACACCTCTGTGGCTCTTGCCTGTTTGAGCAAAACAGGAGCTCAGAGCAGCCACCTTCATTTAAAATTCATTGCAAGGAAGCTAGCGGGTTCCAGCAGTAACGACCCAGCCCTCAAAGGTCCTATAAATACCTCTTCTTCTGAAGCATCCTCAGGTCACAATTCAGTGCTCATTGACTGAGCACCTGTGGGAGACCTTATAGTGTAGAAGTTAAGGGCACAGACCCAGGAGGCAGACTTCCTGGGCCTGCCACTTGTTAGCTGTGTGACCCTGGGTATGTTACTTAATCACTCTGAGCCTCTGTTTCCCTGTCTGCAAAATGGGAATGGTAATCATGCAACCAAGTCGTTGAATTATTATGAGGAGTAAATGAGTTAATACGTGTAACGTGTCCAGAAGAGTATCCAGTGCATAGTAAGGCTCTGTAAGTGGCATTTTCATAGAATGTCTCGTTTGATCTTTAACAAAACTTGGCGAAGTTGGCATTAACCTCAGAAGAGGAAACTGAGGCTCAGAGAGGTGAAGTGACTTGTACAAGATAACACAGCAGGTAAGTGGAGGAGACAGAGAGAACAGTCAGGTTTGGGTGACTCTGAGTCCAGTGCTCTTGGAGGACTTCATGTGTCCCTCCTTGTTAACGCTCTGTATGTATCATGGTCACTTCTGCGCATTTGTCTCCCCGGTTCCCAGCCCAGAGCCAGATAGGACGAGGCATTCAGTAAAGGTGTGAATGAATCAGTGAGTGAATGAAATTGATGGATTGATCTGTGTTCCTAGCACTTGGCCCAGGTCCTCAGTGAGGCAGCCCCTAGCAGCACTTGGATCCGACCCCACCGAGGACCTCCGTGGTCCCCCTCAGCCTCACCCCGGCTGCTCATAGAGAGAAGGGCCGGCCCTGCAGGCCTGAGTGTCCCCGTGCTGGAGGTGGCTGCAGTGAAAGTAAAGGGCCTGGCAGCCTGCTCCTGGGGAAGTCCATGTGCAGTGCTGGGGAGGGCAGGGGCGGGCAGGCCTCCTGGCGGGGCTTCCTGTCAGCGCTCCAGGCCCAGCCTTCAAACAATGGCAGGGACTCCAGAATCAGAAAATCAAAAGAAAAAGGGCAAAATAAAAGTCCTGGGTGGGGAGTTGAGGAATTCCGTTTGGGGCCTGAGGAGCTAGGACGGGGGACCTGCTTGTGGCCTGGGTGTAAGTGGAGTCAGAGGCCCGGCTCCCCACCTCACCCCCCCAGTCCTGAGCTTGGTCCCTCTGCCTCTGCTCACCCCCTCCAGGCTGTCTTCCACCAGGTGGGGTCTTTTGAAACCCAGATCTGACCATGTCACCCACTGCTTAAAAACTCTTGCCCAGGAGAACGGCCCAGCTCCTCGGCCTGGCGTGGAGGCCCTTTGTGATGGGCTGCAGCCCCACTTCGCTGCCCCTTCCCAGGGTGCCCCGTTCACCTTTATCCTGGCTGCAGCTGCGGTCTGGGGCTCCCGAGGACAGGCCCAGACAGGAGGGGACGGTGGGGCTGGCGGTGGGAAGGAGCCTGTGGTCTTACGGTGTTCCCCGTTCCTCCCCGCTCTCTGCAGAGCCATGAGCCACCAGATCCTGCTGCTCCTGGCAGTGCTGTCCCTGAGCCTGGCTACCTCCCAGCACCGGGACAAGGTGCCCTGTAAGATGGTAAGAAGCCCTGCCTGGGCCGGGTGAGCACCCGCACCCCAGCTCCCCAGCCCTCGGGTGTCCCACTGCGCCCCACTGGCCGCCGGAGTTAGAGGAGTCAGAAGAGGAAGGGAATGTACCCCATGCATCCAAACCTGGCATTTAATGAGCACCTACTAGAATGTTTCAATACCTCAGTTACTGTGAATCCTGCCAGGCAACTGCCATTATTCCCATTTTACAGAGTTGGCAACAGGCTTGGAGAGGTTGGTGACTTGTCCAACGTCATTCCTCTAGGACCAGTGGGGCCAATATTGGACTCTGTTCCCCCAATATGCCCCCACAGGGCAGTGGGTCCAGCTGAGTGATGTAGAATGTGTATATATGTGGGGAATTTGGGGTGGGCCAGCTGGGAAGGGCTCCTCTGTACTGGGTCCTTCCTGGGGACAGATCTCCTTCCCTAACTGGGCTCCTCGATGTGGGCCTGTCTGCCACATCCCTGCTGGGATGCCTCTCACTCATTACTGCTCAGGTCAACTGCTGCCTCCTCCAGGAAGCCTCCATTGACCCTCCCAGGCTGCTCCCTTTTCTGGGTTCCTGCAGCCCTACGCTCCCTCCATCTCAGTCTTGAATACATAGGGTGGTTGGTGAATGGGTCCAAGCCTGTGTCACCTGCCAGACCAAGAACTGCTTGAGAGCAGGGACCAGGTCTGATTCATCTTGGTCTCTTTCCTGCCCCGAGCCAGGGAGACCAGCCCTGAAGTTACTATGACCCTGTGGGGTACAGGGAAAAGGGACCACTTAGGTCCGCGTGTAAGGCTGGGCACTCACTGAGGTCAAGGCCGGAGCTCGGGCTGGGGAAGGGATGGGCTCCCTGGCAGCCCCACTTGGACCTGGAACCGGACACTCATGACACAGACTGGGCAGCTGCTTCTGGAAGCTGGACGTGCTGGCAGCGAGGGCCCTGCGGGCCTTCCCTGGGGTTTGCAACGTCCTGCTGTTGCCACCTCATTTCTTGCTCCTCAGAACCCTTCCGAGATTCCCAGAACCCAGAATCACAGGCAGAGAAGGCCTCAGACATCACCAATGCAGCCCCTGGGGACACATTCTCCCTGGGGACACAGGCTCAGAGAGGTGAAGGGCCTGGGCCACCCCACAGACAGAGGGGAGCTGGGTGAGCTCTGGATTTGGGGCAAACAAACTCAGAGGCAGGAAAGCATTTTTTGAGCTACCGTGGAAGGAGTTATGATGATTTCAAAATAGTAAAAAGAAATTGCCATGTGTTGAGGGCTCAGGGGGTGCCTGCACCCCGCTGAGGGCTTTCTCTCATTTTATCCTGCCCAGAACTCCCCTTTTCAGCTCAGGAACCTGAGGCTGAGAGAAGGGATGTGACCCACCAGGGTCATACAAATAGGAAGTAACAGAGCCAGGATTCGGACCCAGCTCCCCCGAGCTTGTGCTGTCCAGTGCCGGGTCACTCTTACTCCCCTGGGTCCCTTCTGTGTGCAGGTGGTCAAATGGAGTTGGCTGGCGAGTCTTCTTCCCACCCAAAAATATAAATAAATAAAAGCTAGGCAGCGGCATCTTGGCACACCTGAGAGAGTGGGTAGAGGGGCGTCAGAAGAAGCTCTGAACTTGGCTAAGGGCTGATTCCCCCAAGACCCTTCCTTACATGCATCAGTCATGCTGGGGCTCAGAGCACAGGGCACGGTGGGCGCCACAGAAATGGAGTGCCGAGAGCTGCCCTTGCCTTCCAGCTCCTTGTGGCCTGGAGAGCCGGGCAGCCCAGTGCAGCCCTGTCTACCAGCAGCCCCCTCTGGGCCTCTGTGATGGGGACCTGGGCACCTGGGCAGAAAGTGAATCTTAGGCCCTGGGTGTGGCCAGCTTTGTGTCCTGGCTCAGCTCTCAGGGGCTGCTGCCCCAGGGAGCCTGCAAGTATCAGAGGTGAGATGGGGTGTGGGTTTGCACTGGGGTAACGTGCCCCCCCCATAGCAAATGCTCAGTAACGGTGCTGAAGGCATCAACCTGGGTGCCCGTCCAGCTGAGGGCCCAGAGGTCAGAACTCAGCTGGCACCAGTAGGAAGAGGAACTCACAGTGGTAGTTTTGAGTCTCTGACTATCTGATTTGGGGCAGCCCACGCCCCTGAGCCTCAGTTTCCTCAGGGGGTACGATGAAGTGGATAACGCCCAAGAAGATTAAATGGCCTGCCTCGGAGCCGGCGCTCCAGTTAGTGGTCACTGTGCTCGTGTTCGTTTTGCTGTTTCCTCTTTCATCAGGATGGTCCTGGGAGCTGAGGATGGGGAGGAGGAGGCCGTGCCTCGTCGCCCCGGCGGGCACAGAGGTGGTGAGGGAGGAAGGGGCGAGGAGCCAGGCAGGACCGGCAAGGTGGCCAGGGTCAGTTTCTGGTTTAGCGGGTGCCCAACCACTGCGGTGTCCTCTGAGGAGGGCCACTCACTGTGCTCATGGAGTTGAAGAGTCACCACATGCCCGGTGGAGGGCCATCCCTTCCTTCCCCCTCCTCACCTTGGGGCTCGAGGGAGGAAGCTGAGAGCTGGGCCAGGCCCAGAACCCCAGGCTGGCGTTCCTGCCCTCCCAGCTCTGCCGCTGACTCACTGTGACCTCGTGCGGGTCACTGCCCTCTTCAGGCTCCATCTCCCCATCTGGGAAGTGGGTGGGCTGGGCCCTTTGGGCTCGAATGGTCTTTGACTCTGATCCGAATGTATGGATCATCCCTTTTCTTTCCTTTCAGAAGGGTGATTGACTCCATGCCTCAGGCCTTTACTAAGCCGATGATGTCTGTGACTCTCATTCATTAAAAAAATTTACGGAGCACCTTCTATGGGCCAGGTCCATGGCATCCACATCCATCATGCCAGTCCCTCTTTGCTCTGAGCTCACGGTCTAGCAGGTCCCCACACAGAGAGTCACATTTCAGGGGGCCAAAGCTATGAGAGAGGAAGCACAGGAGCTGTGAGAGCCCAGAGGAGGCCCCGACCTGCCCAGCAGTCAGGGAAGGCTCCCTGGTGGAGGAGATCCTGGAGCTCAGCATGCAGAGTTCACCATGCAGATCTAGTTGGGAATGGCATAACCAGCACAGGGAATAGCAAGGAGGAAGCCCAGAGGTGCACATGGGAGGGCTCAATGGGCAGTGGTCAGGTGTGGTCGCTGCATATGGGCTGGGCTTGAGTTGGTTGGGAGGAGAGGAGACAGGTCAGCAGGGGCCACAAATAGCCTTGAACCCTGCTGAGGTCCTGGACTTTGCTCTGGAGGGGTTTAAGCAGAGGGCAGCATGGGCAGAGCGGAGTTTTTGAGTAGCTGCCCGGCATTTGGCAGGTGGATGGGTCAGAAGGGGTCGATGGAGACAGAGGCTGGGGCAGGAGGGGGCCTGAGCTGGGTGGTTGCAGAATTCAGCCCCTTTGCTGGGAAAGGCTGGGGTTCCTGGTACGCTGACTGCATTTGCATGGAAGGAATTCTGGCCCCAGAAGGCACATGCGGTGAAAGGACAAAAGTGGGGCTTTTGGTTATTTAAAGACCTGGGTTCAAAGCCCAGCTCTGCTCCTCACCAGCTGTGTGATCCTGGAGCCTCCCTTACCCTCTCTGAGCTCAGGTTTCTTAAATGGGCATGATCATATTTGATGGGCAGGCTATTGTGAAGATCCAGTGAGACCACGGGTCTGAAAATGCTAAATAAAAATGTAAAATGCTGAGTGGGTACTGGGGAAGGATGAGTTACTTTCTGGATAAGAAACCAGAGTGGTAATGTGACTTGATGGGGCTCACACAGCAAAACCATAGTCTTGTCATCAAAGAAGGTGGCTTAGGACCCTGGCCATTCTTTCCTGTGCCCCCTACCCCTACCCCACCTCCAGGGGCCGATCTGGACCAGACCACGGGAAGCGAAGCTGCTGACGGGGGTGAGGGTGAGGGTGGATAGCAGCAGCAGAAGGGATGTCACATCTGGGGAGTCAGCGAGGAAGGCAAGCTCTGGGACCCAGAGCTCTGCCCCATGGGATGAGGGCTTGCATGAGATCTGCGGGGGAGGAAGCCAAAATAAAAACTGACGACAGGACTACAAACTGCAATTTCCCCTTTTGGAAACATTTCTAACACCAGTTGGGTAAATTTAATATCTGGGCACACAGAGGGAACCCAGGGTGTGGGACCAGGAGGCCTGGGTCCCAGCTTGGTTGTGCACTGGCTCTGGATCACTCTAGTTGATATACGGCTCAGTTTCCTATAAAATGGGGTAATAATCAGTACAGGGTATTTTATTAGTTCTTTTGTCCTTATATCTGTCTATCATCTGTCTGTCTGTCTACCCATCAAAGCTTCCCTGATTCCCTCCCTGTACGTGGGGCCAGAGACAGGGGCAAGGAGCGGGATGGGGTCATCCAGATTTGGGGTGACTAGGTGGGGGTGGAGGAATGTCAAGCATCCTGGGAGGCCAGAGGAGAAGCCTAGCCAAGCCTGGTGGGGGCCCAAGTCATCCTTCCGAGAGGAGCATGTCTGTTCCACCTCCTACTGCACCCACTAATGCCCGCCGCTCTCCCTGCCCTCCCCCTCCCCAGGTGGACAAGGAGGTCTTGTGCCAGGGCCTTGGTCTGCTCCAGGTCCCCTCGGTGCTTCCGCGGGACATTGAAGCCCTCGACCTATCTGGAAACCAGCTGCGGAGCATCCTGGCCTCACCCCTGGGCTTCTACACAGCGCTTCGTCACCTGGACCTGAGCACCAACGAGATCAGCTTCCTCCAGCCAGGTGTCTTCCAGGCCCTGCCCCACCTGGAGCACCTCAACCTGGCCCGCAACCGCCTGGCGGTGGGCACCGCGCTGAGCACTGGTGGTCTGGGCCCCCTGCCGCGTGTGTTGTCCCTGGACCTGTCTGGGAACAGCCTGTACAGTGGCCTGGTGGAGCGGCTGCTGGGGGAGGCGCCCGCCCTGCGCACCCTCTCGCTGGCGAAGAACAGCCTGACGCGCCTCACCCGCCATAGCTTCGGGGGCACGCCGGCGCTGGAGTGGCTCGACCTGCACAGCAACGTGCTCATGGACATCGAGGACGGCGCTTTCGAGGCCCTGCCCCACCTGGCCCACCTCAATCTCTCCAGGAACTCCCTCACCTGCATCTCCGACTTCAGCCTCCAGCAGCTGCGGGTGCTCGACCTGAGCTGCAACAGCATAGAGGCCTTTCAGACGGCCCTGGAGCCCCAGGCCGAGTACCAGCTCACCTGGCTGGACCTGCGGGAGAACAAGCTGCTCCACTTTCCTGACCTGGCCGCCCTCCCCAGACTCACCTACCTGAATGTGTCCAACAACCTCATCCGGCTCCCCGCGGGGCCGCCCCCAGGCGGCGAGGGCATCCACGCGCCCTCCGAGGGTTGGTCAGCCTTGCCTCTCTTGAACCCCAGCCGGAACACCAGCACCCACACCCTCTCCCAGCTCTTGAATCTGGATTTGAGCTACAATGAGATCGAGCTCATTCCCGAGGACTTTCTAGAGCGCCTGACCTCCCTGCGCTTCCTCAACCTCAGCCGAAACTGCTTGCGGGCCTTCGAGGCCCGGCGTGCGGGCTCCCTGCCCTGCCTTGTGCTCCTGGACGTCAGCCACAATGCGCTGGAGATGCTGGAGTTGGGCACCAGGGCCCTGGGGTCTCTGCGGATGCTGCTTCTGCAGGACAATGCCCTGCGGGACCTACCGCCATACACCTTTGCCAGCCTGGTCAGCCTGCAGAGGCTCAACCTGCAGGGGAACCGAGTCAGCCCCTGTGGGGGGCCCGGTGAGCCTGGACCCTCGGGCTGTGTGGCCTTCTCTGGCATCTCCTCCCTCCGCATCCTGAACCTAGTGGACAATGAGATGGAGACACTCCGGGCAGGTGCCTTCCTCCACACGCCGCTTACTGAGCTGGACCTCTCCGCCAACCCTGGGCTGGACGTGGCCGTAGGGGCCTTGGCAGGCCTGGAGGCCTCCTTGGAGGTCCTGGCCCTGCAGGGCAATGGGCTGGCCGTCCTGCAGGTGGATCTGCCCTGCTTCAGCTGCCTCAAGCGGCTCAATCTCGCTGAGAACCGCCTGAGCCGCCTGCCTGCCTGGACGCAGGCGGTGTCCCTGGAGGTGCTGGACCTGAGGAACAACAGCTTCAGCCTCCTGCCGGGCAGTGCCATGGGCGGCCTGGAGACCAGCCTGCGGCGCCTCTACCTGCAGGGGAATCCGCTCAGCTGCTGCGGCAACGGCTGGCTGGCCTCCCAGCTGCACCAGGGCCGCGTGGACGTGGACGCCACCCAGGACCTGATCTGCCGCTTTGGCTCCCAGGAGGAGGTGGCCCTGAGCCACGTGCGTCCCGAGGACTGTGAGAAGGGGGGGCTCAAGACCGTCAACCTCATCATCATCCTCACCTTCACCCTGGTCTCTGCCATCCTCCTCACCACTCTGGCCACCTATTGCTGTGTCCGCCGGCAGAAGTTCAACCAGCAGTATAAAGCCTAGAGAAGACGGGGGCTGCAGAACAGCTCAGCCTGGAGACCCTTTGAGGTCAGCGGGGGAGCTGGAGAAGGCTGGGGACTGACCCAAGGTCACACAGTGAGCCGGGGTCCGAGAACCCTGGTCTCTGAATCCCAGCCCAGGTTTCCTTTCTCTGCATCCTGCTGCATCGGTAAGTGACCCACTTTCCAGGCCGCACATGGGGTCCAGCTGTGGAAGCCGGAAGTTGGGCAGTTCCAGGACTGACAGAGAATAAGTTTGACCCATCGGATCAACAAACATTCGCCAGGCGTCTGTTTTGTGCCACACCCTGCTCTGGCACTGGGGACACCGGTGAATGAGACACAGCTGTACCCTCAGGCATCTCCTGGTCTGGGTGGGGAGGTGGTCGCAGAGCCGTGCAGTGACCACACAGTGTGGGAGCCTGGGGTTCCGAAGCCCTGCAGCCCTCGCTGGCTGAGTGTGGACAGTCCTGCCCTCGGCCAGGCCAGGGCGAGGGAGGGGCAAGACGAAGAGCATTTGTCTGAGACGTCTCCAAGCAGACTATTTGTCACATCTTTTGATAATGACTTTCAGCTTCACTGGAACATGAGGAGCTTGTGACCGGAAGTGAGCTGGAGCCACATGAGTATGTCTTGGATCCAGCGCTGTTTGGCGGGCTCTGGCGGGGCCTGGTTAAGAGGCTGTTGCCCTGGGCTCTGGCCCAGGGCTGGACCATTCCGTTTCCTGCTCTGGACAGGCTCTTTCCCTAGCTGGCACGCTCGTGTGGCACACACTGGCCCAAATACTGCCCTAGCCCCCCACTCTCTGCCCGGGCCCCCTGCTCCATCCCAGCCCCACCCTTGCTGGCAAGCCATGAGTTAGAACCCTGGGAATCTGCTTCTGTTTTGCACGAGGCTTGGCAGCTGTAACAAACCCAAGCCTGCCTCTGCCTCTTTATGGGAACCCTCTGAGGTTGGTATTTTATCCCATTTTATAAAAGAGGCTCCAAGTCTCCCTCTAGGGTCTCCCAGCTCAGAAATGCCAGAACTGAGATTCAGACCCACATCCTCCTGCCTCCAGGGCCTGAGCTTCGTCCCTGTGGGGGCTGCAGGCTGTTAGGTGGACAGGAAGTGGTCCCACATGGGCAGAACGGGGCCCGGGGGCATCCCCACCCACTCCTCTCTCTCCTCTCTCCCAGGCAGGCAGAGAGCAGACAGGCAGCCACAGGCTCTCTGCTCCTTCTCTGCCTCAGTTTCCCTTGTTCCCTCCTTTGCAGACTGGTGCGGGTCTCCTTTTTCTCTTGCTCTTGCATTCCCTCATTCCATCTCCCTCCATTGAGCAGAACCTGGAGCTTGAGACCACTGAGTCCAACCGTCCCATTGTACAGATAGGGAAACTGAGGCTGGTGGAGAGAGTGGGCCTTGCTCAGGACTGCACAAGTCAGTGGCAGAACCTGTGAAAAAAGTGGATTCAGACCTCACTGGGGGGCGTGTGGTGGCACTGGTGGTTGGACCTGAGTGGTTTCCTTCTCTCTCAGCTGTCACATCCCAAGAGGACGCTGGCTGCAAATGCTCTTTCTGGTCCTCATCATGCAGAGATTTTTTTTCCCCCTAGAAAAATGGGTAGAGAAACCCATCCAGATATAACCCCGTGTCCCTCGTTCCCGTGGAATCATGGGCTGTCCCGGAAGAAGGGAGGCCCTGGGATGAGCCCAGACCCTGCGTGACTGTCTCCCTCTCTTACCTGGGCTTGGCCTTTGGTCTGGCTCACGATGGTGCTCGGTAAAGTGGGAGACGGTGAAAACGCCCCTCTCTCCACCCTGTTTTACAGATGAGGAGACGGAGGCCCAGAGAGGGTAGGGGACTCAGGGAGTCAAAGGCCAAGCTGGGGCTGGAACCTGGTGTCCTGGCCCCAGCTGGGGCACCAGGTGGTATGTGGTGGATCCAGTCCCATTGGGATCACGCCCGCAGGTGCCCACCATGCACAGACACTCTTCCTCAGGCCTGGAGGGCAAGGTGTGGCCCCTTCAGGCCTGATCTTTGAAAACACTACACAATGCTGCTCTCACCTTCCAGGAGCCAGGCCCACCCAGGCCTCGCACCGGCTCTTTGTATAACCCACATGAATGTATTAAAAAATGATTTTGGAGAAACAGCGCGGCCTGCCAGCCTCCTCCTTGCTGCGGGTAGTGGGCATCATTGCGTGCCCTTGAACGCTGCCCTCCTCTGCTTCCCTTACAGCCTTTGAATCCTCAGGGCAAACCTCTGGGGAGACAGGCTGGGGACCGTTGGGTGGGAGACTGAGGCTCTGGGTCGTCACCACCCTGGACCTCGGGGCCTCAGCCCTCGTCACATATCCTGCCATGCTCTGTCCCCTCACACTTAACAGACCCTGCTCCCCACCCCCGCCACGGAGAAAGTGGTGGCTTTCCGCAGGAACACGGTGGTGGCTTTCCTTCCCCTGAGGCTCCCTGTTCTCGCCCTTTCTCTGTGCTCACTCCTCTGCCTGCTCTGTCCCTGCCTCCCTCAGGGTCCTCGTCCCCTCCTCTCTCATTCGCTCCCTCACTCTCCTCTCTCTTCAGCCCCTCCTCTCTATTCCCTTCTTCCTCTCAGACTTCAGTGGCACTCCAGTCTTGCCCATCGTGAAAATAGTAGAGACCCTTAAACCACTTTTCCCTTCCTTCTCCTACTTCGTGGGTAAACTTTTTGGTAAAGTAGCTTTCCCTCCCTCCCCTCCATTCTCAACCCACCCCAGGCTGCCTTCAGCACCTCCTGCACCAGCGCCCGCACTGCCCTGGCTGAGGTCACCGAGGGTGACCTCTGCCAAACTCAGAGCACTTTTCAGACCACGCCTTCTTGACCCCTCAGCTGTGGGGGTCCCCTCACCCTGTCCTCCCTGTCACCCACACCCTCCCATCAGCACACTCTCCCCAGCACCTAGAACCCCCCACACGTGGTTTTCGCTTCCTCTCAGGCCACTCCTTTTCAGGCTCTGCTGTGTGCTCCTCTTCCTTGAGCCATCTGAATGGCCATCCCCAGGACTCCGTCCCAGACCCTCCTCCCCCTGAAAATGTCATCACCCTCTTGCTGTAGCCACCCCATTGCTCTGAGGATGCCCACGGCTCTGTCTCCAGCCCCTCCTGAGCACCCAGGCCTGATACCTAGAGCCCCCCTCTGCCCCCCACCAGCTAGAGAGCTAAAGGTCCCCTAGGGGCTGGAGAATTGACAGCGGCTGGGCTGCAGTACAAGGTTGAACTTGGAAGAAGAGCAGAAGGGGCCAGCAGAAGAGTGTTCCTGGTTCCTGGAAAGGAGTTGGAGGGTGAGGGTGTGGGCTGTGGGGTCTGGGGGTGGGAACAAGAGCCCCCTCACTGGTAGTGGGGGTTGGGGGCAGACGAGGGGCTCTGAGGCAGAGTCTAGAGGCAGGGATGGTCGCCCCCGCCTCCCCACCCCCACTGTGTAGCCCCCTGTGCTTGTGCTCGTGTGGCCCCGCCTCCCTTTCTCAGCTGCTGGACACCCAGACACTGCCCCCTCCGCAGGTGCCCACCTTCTCCTCCCCCCTCCCTTCCCCCAAGTTCCAGTGCACTGATGCTCTGCCTTCCCCACCCCCAAGCATCCTGGAGATTTCTGCAACCCAGCGTCTCTGGGCTGTGACCTGTCACCTCCCAGTTCCTGCTCCCAGCTCCTACTCTCCAAAGGAAAATTTTAAATGCCTATTTCACGGATGGGACTGGGGGGTGAGAGGGCACATGACTGCACACCCTGGCACACGGTAGGTGCTCAGGGAGGGCAGGAGCATGGGCTGAGTTCAGCCCAGGCTCTGTGAACCTCCAATCCAGCTGGGAGCCCGCCAGGCCCCTGACCCCTCTTCCTGGAAAACAGGGGAGCTTGCTCACCTGGCCAAGACCCCCAGTGAGGCAGAAATTCCTGTTTTCAGCCAAACGTGGACACAGCTGCCAACTAGGTCATCAGAGCATCCGGCAAGTTCTAGGAGGAGGGGAGGCCCTCGCCCGCCCCCTGTCACAGACAGCCTGTGGTGCCAGGCCACCAGGCTTATTCAGTTCAGAGCACTGCTACGGCAACACAGGAGGCACGGGTCCTGGCAGGAGCCAGGCTGGCAGGCTGGGCAGGAGGGGAGGAGGGCAGCACATATGGCCCACCGGCTGCCTCACCCTCTCCGTGCCCTGTGCTGGCACATCCCCCAGGGACCCAGGATGCCCTGTCTGCTTTCTGTGCCCCTGTCCTTTAGGCAGCTCACAGGCCCTGCTAGTCTGGGTCCCTGCAGCCCTCCAGGACCATCTCTCTGGCCGCCTCCCACCTTGTATTCAGAGCTGAGAATTATTGAGCACTTCCATGCACTGGCCTCCTGACTCTCCCCAACACCGGGCTCTCTCCCACCTCCTCCACATGAAATGTCTCCACCCTGACCCCCTGCCAAACTCCTCCTTTTCCAGCCCTGCCCACATCACCGCCTCTAGGGAGACTGCCCTGATTTCCCTCCTCCAGCTGCTCACAGGGCCCTCAGCACAGCATCAGGATATCTGCCTGATCCGCCGCCATGGGTGGAGGTCCTACCTCGTGTCATTTCTGTGTCCTCAGGGCCCCTGAGCCAACACAGAAGGTGAGTTCAGAAAAGGTTTCCTGAATGGCCAGCCCCTCCCCTCCAGGACTTAAAAACTTGTGGGGATTAAGACCAGCCCTCAGACGGAGAATGGGTGACAGGCTTCTCAGACAGACCCAGGGACACAGAGGACACAGGGGGATGCAGGACGTGGGCTTCCCAGGGGCAGCAGTGGCCAGTGGCAAGGCAAAGCGAGAATCTTCTTCACCACCCTCCATCTCCCTCCACTTTTTGCCTCTAAGACCTTGTCTTCCCTTCTCCTCCCTCCTCTCTCCTGCCTCCTACCACTCTTCTCTCCTCCCTGCCATCTCACTGAAGCAGTTGGGGCTGTGGTGACTGAGAGCAGGGAGGGGCGGAGGCCGAGCTGTTTATAGGAGCTGGAGCGGCTCCATCCATCAGCTCTGTTTGGAGCTGCAGACCAAGCACAATAAATACCTTGGCTCCTCCCCAGCTGTGCTTTCCCTGAACTTGGCCATTCGAACTCCAAATCTCTCTGGCCTGCTGGTTCTCAGGACCCAGCTCCCACCCCACCCTCCCACCTCCCACCAAGCTGCCCTGGAGAGAGCCCTGCCTCTGGGACCAGAAACGCGGGGCTGAGTCTGGGCTCTGCCACTGCTTTGCTTTGGGAGCGAGGGCAAGTCAGGCCACTTGTCTGTGCCTCCATTTCCCCGTCCGTAAAATAGAGTCGTAATCAATGCCCCGCAAACGTACAGCGCTGTTCGTATGTTAGATCAGAGCGGCTTGAGCATCCGCTCTGTGCTAGGCCCTGGGCCCTGCGGGATCCCTGGGAACAGTCAGACAGAACCTCTGCCTATTGGTGGAGGGAGGGGCCACAGCACAGCACAGGCAGGAAGTGGTCAGCGCCACGAGGGAGGTCCAGATTTGTGCTC